CAAATTAGGGGCTAAGAGGGGCCAAAAGTTTTTTATCTATAACTCTCTAATGATCAATTCTTTGTTATACATTATTGATCAAAAGTATTCATCTGAACAATTAGATTATAACTATCTAAGTTGTTTGAAAATTGGCTTATCTGAATTCTAGATATTAATATTTGAAAATCTGAAGCGGGCCCCAGATGGCGGCTGTCTTTGTCAATTCCGCCATTTCGCAATTGGGGTTTATGGAGGCAGCTGAGCGTTTGATTAAACCATTCTGACATACGAATGCATGAAATGTAAACAAAACTACTTGGACTTTCACGTAGTAGTACGTTGCAATTCAGTGTGGATCTTAACACTTAATTTCCGTTTCACTACTTAAGTGTAACTGGGCTAGATACGATATATGTAATGTGTACAAAGACTTTTTAAACGTCGAAATAAAATAAAGGCGATAAGAACGTTTTATTTATTTTATTTCATAAAAGTTCAAAGAAAATGCGCGAATATTTACTCCTGGCGTTTGGCGCAAATTATTAATAGTGACCCGCCTTTTATGATTCTTAGACAGGTGTACTGTTGCAAAAGTATACACACAAGTATATTTAGAGCAGTACTCCCAAAAGCTTAATGGTTTGCGCGTTGGGGATAAAACAGAAAAAGGCGACATGGGTTCAATCCTCTTTGCGACCAAAATTTTGAATCTTTTTCTGTGATATTCATGGCATAAGTAAAGGCCCCTATTTGCTGACTTAACGTATAATCAGTTTCTTGATTTGATAAAGAAGAAATTAAATATCTTTGAATGTCTTAGAACTTTCGCAAGCGTAGGTTCAACGTTTTCTTAAACACTAAAAAATATTCATTTCATTTTCTCATAAATAGGCTGCGCGGGTAATACACATGGTGCCAATGTGCAGGTAAGGTCTTCCCCGTGATGGGCAATGGACCTGTAGAAAACCTTCTCTGGTTCTGCAGAGTCGAGTTTTTAGCAAATAAAATGTATGAAAATGCACGAATATTTACTCGTGGCGTTTGGCGCATATTATTGATAGTGACCCGCCTTTTATGATTCTTAGACAGGTGTACTGTTGCAAAAGTATACACACAAGTATATTTAGAGCAGTACTCCCAAAAGCTTTATGGTTTGCGCGTTGGGGATAAAACAGAAAAAGGCGACATGGGTTCAATCCTCTTTGCGACCAAAATTTTGAATCACTTTTCAGCTCGATTATACGAGATTTTTTTTCCTGAATCGGACGGAAGACCTCTCGTTGCTAGCAACGAGATCGTTTCTAGTTATTATTCTTATTTGTTCTCCGGTACTTTTTTTGTCCGCGAGTGTTCTCAGAAACTGTTCACCCAACTGAGCTAAAACCTTTTTAGGGTTAATAGGTGTGTAGTGTAGGTGTGCGGAACGAAGGTCATTTTGCGCGCATACGCCTGCACGTGCGTGCGCGTGAAATGAGTGAATTGACTGATATACTTAGTATAGCTATAACTTTTACATTTTTTGATGAAATGCTTTGAAACTCATCATATAAGGATATATTAATAGTGTTAATAATATGACGCTGTCAAATTAGCAAGAACTCACGCGCATGCACGTGCGCTGCAATCTGATTGGCTGAAACAAAAATCTCAATATCTCTTTTGTTTTTCGACGAAATGCTATGAAATTTTAAACATTGTCATGAATTAGGATATCCTACAACATAATATAGAAAAAAATTCATGAAATCACGCGCATGCACGTGCGCTGCAATCTGATTGGCTGAAACTTTAAATGGCTATATTTCCTTTGTTTTTTGACGAAATGCTTTGAAATTTAAAACATAGTCATGCATTAGGATATCCTGCAATATGATATACAAAAAAATCATGAAATCACGCGCATGCACGTGTGCTGCAATCTGATTGGCTGAAACTTTAAATGGCTACATCTCCTTTGTTTTTTGACAAAATGCTTTGAAATTTAAAGCATAGTCATGCATTAGGATATCCTGCAATATGATATACAAAAAATTTCAAGAAATCACGCGCATGCACGTGTGCTGCAATCTGATTGGCTGAAACTTTAAAAGGCTATATCTCCTTTGTTTTTTGACGAAATGCTTTGAAATCTAAATCATAGTCATGCATTAGGATATTCTACAATATGATTTTGAAGAAAAAAAATTGAAATCACGTAGATGCACGTGTGCTGCAATCTGATTGGCTGAAACTTGAAATGGCTATTATTCCCTTGGTTTTCAACCAAACAGGATTGGATTTAGAACATAAATAGATATAAGAGCTTCCTACAAGAAGGTATGGTAATCATGCACGTGCATGCACGCGCGTGCATTTGGAATGAATACACTTGAATGAGTGATTTTTAATACTTTTGGACTAAATGCTTTAATATATAACGTATATTTAAATATATAGAAAGTGTAGACAAGATTATATGATCACTACGCACGTGCATTCACATGGGCACGCGTGCAATGTTAAAATTTGAATATAATTGGTATCCTTTTGGGAAAACGTTGTAAACTAAAAAATGCACAGATGTTGTCCTATTTAATAAAGCTTACAGGGAATATGGCACCAAAAGGGAGTTGGGGAGCGTTTGGGGAACATCTGTAACGGTTCCCGTTACAATTAGCACTAGTTATTATTATTCTTTTTTTTCTTCTTTGTTCTCCGGTACTTTTTTTGTCCGCGAGTGTTCTCAGAAACTGTTCACCCAACTGAGCTAAAACCTTTTTAGGGTTAATAGGTGTGTAGTGTAGGTGTGCGGAACGAAGGTCATTTTGCGCGCATACGCATGCACGTGCGGGCGCGTGAAATGAGTGAAATGGCGGATATACTTTATATAGCCATAACGTTAACATTTTTTGATGAAATACTTTAAAACTCATTATATGAGGATATATTAATAGTGTAGATAATATGACACTGTCAAATTAGCACGAACTCACGCGCATGCACGTGCGCTTCGCTCTGATTGGCTGAAACAAAAATCTCAATATTCTTTCTGTTTTTTGACGAAATGCTATGAAATTTAAAATATAGGCATACTTTATGATGTACTACAATATGATTTATAACAATTTACATGTAAACACGCGCATGCACGTGCGCTGCAATCTGATTGGCTTAAACTTAAAATGGCTATAACTTCCTTGTTTTTCAACCAAACAGGATGGGATTTAGAACATAGACAAACATAACAGACTCCTACAAGAAGATATGGTCGACATGCACATGCATGCACGTGCGTGCACGTGAAATGAGTAAAATTACAAATACACTAAATTAAAACGTATTTTTTAATTCTTTTGGATAAAACGCTATAATTTCTAGTATATAAATAGTGTAGACAAGATGATATGGTCATTACGCACATGCATTCAAATGCACACGCGTGCAATGCATAAATCTGAATATACTTAATATACTTCTGGGAAAACAGTGTTATAGTCTAAAAGGCATAGAGTTCGTCTTATTTAATGAAGCTTACAGGGATTAAGGCACCAAAAGGGAGTTGGGGAGCGTTTGGGGAACATCTGTAACGGTTCCCGTTACAATTAGCCCTAGTTTCCCATTGCATTCCAGGCCTATTTTTTGTTTATTTATTTTTTGGTAGTCTGGGTTTTTAAAAATTATTTATAACAAGAGGCCCAGGGGCCACATCGCTCACTTTAGTTCTGGCTATGTAATTTACTAAAAGCAAAAATCAGTTAAGTATTGAAAAAATTAAATAATAAAGTGGGTTCAAGTGGGGTCATGATTTGAACAAACTTGAATCTACACCACATGAGGATGCTTCCATATAATTATGACCAATGATGGCTTTGCAACTGTTCTTGAGAAGATTTTAAAAATTTTCCCTATGTATTCCTATGTTAAAATTTGAACCCTGACCCATCATCATGGCCCCACCCTACCCCTTAGGTCATGACATGAACAAACTTGAATCTGCACTACCTGAGGAAGCTTCCACATGACTTTCATCTTTCCTGGCCAACTAGTTCTTGAGAAGATTTTTAAAAGATTTTCCCTATGTATTCCTATGTTAAACTTTGACCCCTCCAATCATGGCCCTACCATACCACTGGGGGTCATGATTTGAACAAACTTGAATCTACACTACCAGAGGATGCTTTCACATGAGTTTCATTTTCCCTGGCCCAGTGGTTCTTGAGAAGAAGATTTTTAAAGATATTCCCTGTGTATTCCTATGTTAAACTTTGACCCCCATTGTGGCCCAATCTTACCCCCGGGGTCATTATTTGAACAAACTTGAATCTACACTACCAGAGGATGCTTCCACATGAGTTTCATCTTTCCTAGCCAAGTGGTTCTTGAGAAGAAGATTTTTAAAACATGCCATTAATTTTTCATTAATTCATAATTATGTCCCCTTGGAAAAAGGCTTGGCCCTTCATTTTAACAAACTTGAATCCCCTATACCCAAGGAATAGGCCAAGGATACTTTGTTGCAAGTTTGGTTGAAATTTGCCCAGTGGTTCTTGAGAAGAAGATGAAAATGTGAAAAGTTTACGACGACAAACAACGACGACAGACAACGGACAAATTTTGATATAGCTCACTTGAGCCTTCGGCTCAGGTGAGCTAAAAATGGAATATGGCATGTGTACATATTAAAATATCCGTCTTAAAAAAACAATTCCCGTTGCGAAATTATTGATTTTTTTAAATAAAATAAAAATACAAATAAAGTGGGCGATTATCCATGTAAGAACTAAGCAAAAGAAGGACAATCCAAGTGTAAATGTATACAAACGACTATAAGCTAGAATGGACTTTTTCTATAAACCTTTTTTCGATTTATAATTTTTTATAACTTGGATCTAAAGAAATGAATTACAGACTTTGCCAAGCAGGAAACGCATATGAATATGTAAACACAAACTGTTCTTTAGCTCTTGTATTTTAAGATCTGAAGATTTAAAGCAAATATAATAATGATTTCTTAAATTTTAATGTTTTCATTTGTCTAGATTCTGACATCAGTTTTTACACTATTTTTCTTTGCCTACTTGAAGCCATGCGGAGGTAAGAAAATAAAAACTTTCCATGTAATTATTTATATTCATGTACATTGAATTAAGCTTTCTGTGCGTAAGAAAAGAGTCTAAATCTAAGTGTCATCAACCATTTTACAACTAATTTTACTAGTCATGAGCTCGTTAACAATTTGAAAATTGTAAATTAGTGAAAGAAACATGAGATGTACATGTACGGAAGATCAGCTAGTTTCAATGTAGAAAAAAAATCACGTGTTGACATGGTGAGATGTTGGAAAAAAGGGATATGGATATGCTGTTGTTACATGATTTGAACAGAAAATGAATACAAAACAAGAGTTGGAACATTTATACACATATTAAGATACAGAAAGTAAAGCTTTATGACAAACGAGATGACTTTAACTTTTCAGTCGTAAACTTCCATTTTATGCAGCAATTTCGTTATTCCCCGTTTATGACAACGAGCACACGGCGGGTTTGACCGGTCGGCAGGGGATATTCCTGCCTCCATGGCACCTGATCCCACTTCTGATGTTTTAGAGGTCCGTATTTGCTCTGTTCCTGTTTTTTTTAATTATTATTTATTGGACTTTGAGGTTGTATACCGTTATCCATATATTTTATTGTTCTTTTGAATGATCTTTTGTTGTCGTATTTTGGATTACTTTTTTAATAAGAACGGTTGAGCTTTTTTTATTTTTATTTTTTGACTACGGAATATCCGTCTCTTTAATCAATATTTGGGGCTTACTACAGGTGTCATCCGTCAGGGGATGCTCACTCCCCCTAGGCACCTGATCTCACCTCTGAAATTTCCAGGAGTTCGTGTTTTATGCATTGTTCTTAGTTTGTTTACTGCTGATCTCACCTCTGAAATTTACAGGAGTTCGTGCTTTATGCATTGTTCATAATTTGTTTACTGTTTTCATTGATAACTGTTAGATAATTTCATTTTAAAATGTGAGACATTCACTTCACATTCATTTCACATTTATGCAAGCGCTGAACGTAATTTTCGCATTTTCTGTTTTTATTAAACTTGAAATTATCAAGGAAAGTTGGCTTTGTTATTTAGTCCAAATTAAAAATTACTTTTGTTTCCCCTATCGCGACCGACCCAATTAAATCGCGCCGACTGAAAAGATTTTTTAGATAAGATGATTCAAAAAAAAATTTTTATTGTCAACCAAGTGTTATAAAATACAATTTCATCAAAATCAGTTTATATCAGAACGTCCGACATTGTTCTACTGTGATTTTCAAGCATTTGATGGAAACAAAATAGCGCCCAGATGTGATTACAGAGAAGTAGTTCATAACACAACGGCGATGTCTCAATCTTACATGCCTTTAGCTAGAATCCTTCACTCTTTAAACAATTTGAATAAAGGACGTTAAACAACGAACAAACAATTCTGTCTGTTGAATTTCAGGTACGTAATACATGGAAAGGCCAGCCTCATGAGCAGATGAGGGGTCCACCTTGTGAACACATCATTCTTTCACTGCATTTTATTTGAGTTTTGATCTAATAAACAATTCATCTATGTTCCCATGTTTACTATATGCCATTATGGAATCATAGGAGCTGTTGTAAATATGTCTGCATATTCATCCTAATAAATATTATTCAGTTCTTCTTTTTCATGCCTTTATTTACGGGTTAAATTTCACGACTATGACATTGTTTTATAACCCTAGAATTTTAATCATTTGTAGAATCGGTCTGGTTCATTTAAATATTGTTTAAATACTTTTTCCAAATAGTTTTAAAATAATAAGTTAGCTTCCTGAGACGTCCAGTGTATTTTTTTCTTTAATTAGGCCCTTGAAGATTGGTTGTTTCTTTGCTTTTGATCCCTTCGAGATTTGTTGGGACGACATTTGAACATTTCCCCATTGCTCCAAATTTAGACGTCCTACGCACTTTTTTGCCATTAACTTGATTAAGCAGTGGGGATCTTTTTGAATCAGCATACAACAACGCATCTGCGACACTGGAATAAGTTTTTATGGTCCCTTCTGAAGGACCGTTTTCAATGTTCCTCATTGGTATTTGAACCTGCGACTTAAAATTAGCAACTTACGTCTTAACTCCAAAGCAAAATGCTCTACAACCACGGCATATCTCATGGCCCTCAAAAAGTACACAGACTTTTTTTATTCGATTTATATAAATGTACTCTGGCGTGAGATATTTCATAAGTTCATCTAAATTACAGTTGTAAATTAATTAATCGTAAATTTTGCTTTTAAATGGCATATGTATGATACTTAGCATTTTGTTCACAATCGCTTTCTTTCGTACTTTTCTTACTTATAAATATAATTTTCCATTAAATTTTAGAATGTATTTTCAAAGCTACTGTCAGAAAATAAAATCGTTTACCTACCGACCGACCCAACTTGAGAATTTAGGGTCGGGTTAGGGGAAACAAAGATATTTTTAATTCCGGCCTAATAGCTATGGTCCTAATAAAGTCAAAATTATTTTTCAATCATAGAATTTTCAAATTTCCCAGCTTTCTGATTTGATATACCTGTAACAATAAAAGTACGAACGGATTTTTAGCTTCAAAATGTCATGATGACATCAACAACTTTTAATATTTGAGGATTAAAAATGTATCAAAGAATTTGAATCCCCCCATATGTTTCAACATTCGAGAGCCATGGCTTTAAGCACTGCCAATAATTTAGTTATTTAATTAGTATATGTAAGTGTACTTAAAGGTACTTATGTAATATGTTTTTATTCCCGTTTTGTTTTCCAGGAATTCTAGCCGTCTGCAAAAAGAATTCACAGTTCTTGTGCAATGATGAACAACCGACATTCCTTGTGGGCGCCAATCAGGCGTGGTTTAACTACGCCACGGGAGACTTCGGAAACCGTCTGTATTTTACTGTCTCCATGATCCCTCTTAAAGCGTATCTTACCGGACTTAAAGCGGCTGGCGGAAATTCCATCAGTTTGTTTTATTTTCTTCCATTCATTTCTCTCTTTCCCTCTCTCTCTCTGTTTTAATTTTTTTAGCTCACCTGAGCCGAAGGCTCAAGTGAGCTTTTCTGATCACATTTTGTCCGTCGTCCGTCCGTCTGTCTGTCTGTCTGTCTGTCCGCCTGTAAACTTTTCACATTTTCGACTTCTTCTCAAGAACCACTGGGCCAATTTTGACCAAACTTGGTACAAAGCATCCTTGGGTGAAGGGGAATTTAAGGTATTAGGGGTGTAATGGCCATGACCTTGAATATGACCTAATTAAGCATAGTTATAATGAACAACACTTTCGGCAATATTTCCCTTAGTTTCATGCAATTTTGTCCATACATATTTCTTATGTGCTCATTAATGTAACTGTACCCTCTCGCCAGTGGTGCACCCTTAATAGACAAAGGGTAGAGATGTAATTTTTCTAGTAAGCCAGAGAACAGTTTAATGTTTCATGTATTCATCTGTGAAAGTAAGCCCTAGGATTGTAGACATTCAATTTTTTTTAGTTCAGAGTCATCAGATGTGATATATGAATACTTGTAATCGAGAGAACTTGTCTGCTTTCAGTGAAAATTTTAGCAATATTGTTATAAAACCGTTTATATTATTCTGCCATAGAAAATTATGGTAGGGATGATCAATAAGAAAACATAGAAAATTTTGTGTGACATGTATTTGTGATAATATAACCACAAAAAAGAATTATTCTATCCACAATATTTATCTATATTCTACATCAGAGTGATGTACCCCCTAAAAATGTAAGCCATTATTTTTTTTGGTTCATGGTATAGGGTAGGTTGTAATGAAATAACTAATGAGCTTGAGCATATATAAACAAAAGATGATTGTCATACTAAACTCAATTCAGATTAGATTCATTTGCTCAGAAAATTGACCTCTTCTCACACTGACCTTGACCTAGATAGGGTTTACAAAATAAACTACATTTTTGCAGTTCCCATGTGTATAAAGTTCTTAATAGTTTTTATTTACTTTACAATGAAGGCTAAAATATATCTGACAGATCGCAAAACACTGATCAAAGGGTTTTAAAAACGATATTGTGCCTCACATATATTATAAATTAACAAAATATGCATAAATAAATATGTTGACCCACCCCCCCCCCCCCCCGTTTCTGACGCGGCTAAACTCATTCAAAAAATAAATAAATAAAAAACCCACACAGATAAAATTCACCCTGACCTTACCCAGAATATTTTTTTGTTCTCATAACTGATATAATTTTTTTTGTTAAAGTTCTAAACATATGATTACATTATTTTTACTGATCGATCTATTTAGATCATCTCAGATATTTCACGTACATGTGTGATAACATCATTACATGGATAATTGAACGTGACATTAATTTATGTTGCATGAGTATCTAGATATTTTAAGTCTGTTTTTTCAATTATTTTTCAAGAAACCATCAATATTTCAAAAATCCTGAGAATCATTTAGCACGGCCACAGGTTTGCACAATTCCAGAATATTACATTATGTAGAGATTATATGTACACAACATCTGTCGATTTATTGCAGATTCCACAATACACGCCATGCTATTAATATTGTAACATACATTATTCTCTCAAACAGTTAGCTGATACTAAGAGAATCACAAAATTACAATGAAAAGTTACTTCGTTTGTTTTTTCGAAATCGGTGCTATTTTTAGAAGTTGGAAAAACCCTTGTAATGTGTATATGAAGATAACATCGTTTTAACTGCATATTTTGCCAACCCAAATTATAGTATGGTGTTTTCTATTTAATATCATATCAATTCTTTCCTTTGATTAGTTATAATCTGTTCCTTTGGTGTATGTTTTATGATAGCGTCCTAGGCCGTCTTGACGACGCGCCATTTTTGTTTACGAAGATAGATGTTCCGAGAACTGCCGATGTCAAACACCTCGGCATTTTAACCGGAAGTGGCCTATTACACCGCTAAATCCTTAAATTGTTAAAATGAAGGGACATATCCCCTCGCAAGGGGAGATAATCAAGAAAAGACAAAAATAGGGTGGGGTCATTAAAAAATCTTCTTCTCAAGAACCACTGGGCCAGAAAAGCTGAAACTTATGTGAAAGCATCCTAGGGTAGTGTAAATAATAAATTGTTCAAATCATGACCCCCGGGGGAAGGGCGGGGCCACAATGGGGAATCAAAGTTTTACATAGAAATATATAGGAAAAATCTTTGAAAATCTTCTTCTCAAGAACTACTGGGCTAGAAAAGCTGAAACTTACGTGAAAGCATCCTAGGGTAGTGTAGATATTAAATTGTTCAAATCATGACCCCCGGGGGAAGGGCGGGGCCACAATGGGGAATCAAAGTTTTACATAGAAATATATAGGAAAAATCTTGGAAAATCTTCTTCTCAAGAACTACTGGGCTAGAAAAGCTGAAACTTACGTGAAAGCATCCTAGGGTAGTGTAGATATTAAATTGTTCAAATCATGACCCCCCGGGGGAAGGGCGGGGCCACACTGGGGAATCAAAGTTTTACATAGAAATATATAGGAAAAATCTTTGAAAATCTTCTTCTCAAGAACTACTGGGCCAGAAAAGCTGAAACTTATGTGGAAGCATCCTAGGGTAGTGTAGATATTAAATTGTAAAAATCATGACCCCCGGGGGAAGGGCGGGGCCACAATGGGGAATCAAAGTTTTACATAGAAATATATAGGAAAAATCTTGGAAAATCTTCTTCTCAAGAACTACTGGGCCAGAAAAGCTGAAACTTATGTGGAAGCATCCTGGGATAGTGTAGATTCTAAATTGTAAAAATAATGACCCACGGGGGTAGGGCGTGGCCACAATGGGGAATCAAAGTTTTACATAGAAATATATAGGAAAAATCTTGGAAAATCTATCTCTTAAAAACCACTGTGCCAGAAAAGTTGAAACTTATGTGGAAGCATTCTTGGGTAGTGTAGATTCTAAATTGTTCAAATCATGACCCCCGGGGAAAGAGCGAGGCCACAATGGGGAATCAAAGTTTTACATAGAAATATATAGGAAAAATCTTTGAAAATCTTCATCTCAAGAACCACTGGGCCAGAAAAGCTGAAACTTAAGTGGAAGCATCCTGGTATAGTGTAGATTCTAAATTAAATCATGACCCCCGGGGGAAGGGTGGGGCCACAATTGGTAATCAAAGTTTTACATAGAAATATATTGTAAAAATCTTTAAAAATCTTCTTCTCAAGAACCACCGGGCCAGAAAAGTTGAAACTTATGTGGAAGCATTCTTGGGTAATGTAGATTTTAAATTGTTCAAATCATGACCCCCAGATCAAGGGTGGAGCCACAATGGGGGGATCAAAGTTTTACATAAAAATATAAAGGAAAAATCTCTGAAAATCTTCTTCTCAAGAACCACTGGGCCAGAAAAGCTGAAACTTATTTGCACATGGAAGGATCCTGGGGTAGTTGATTTCAAAATGTCTTAATTATGATCAGTGGGGTAGGGTGGGGATACATAATGTATTACAAGGGGGAAATCTGGTAAAGAACAGAATGGTCAAAGCTTCTCAGGTGAGCGATGTGGCCCATAGGCCTCTTGTTAGTTTTGCAAGTACTGAAGCTTTATTATCAATTCAATTCTAGACACTTTAGGGGGCCGACTATAGTTTTCTTTGCGCAATATTTCGCGCATCATAGTAAATTGAAGCGTATTTACTGTTTTTATGCAACTCTTTTCGCTGAATTATTAAAATTAAACAAAATTAAGAAATTATAGGTATAAAAATGTAATTACAATTTCATATAACTGATTTTTTAATCGATTTTGCAATTGATAGGTAAGTTGACGTCGCTACAGTGTGTTTTTGACGTTGTGTTAATCTGTAGCTCTTAAAGAAAGGGGTAATAAAAATATTATTACAGAAAAAAAGTAATAAACATACGCTCTTGAAATTTAAAACAAAGAAATTTTAGAATATCTCCAAAATTTTTATTATGTTTTTTTTGTGAATCCATTGTTTACGTCATAATTTGTAGTACTTTATAAAAATAGTAAAATTTGCTAATTTTTTTTTTTTTGCATTTTGAGATGCCCCCTCTGTTAACAAGACGGTAGAATTTTGTGTTTCTTACATATATTGTATAATATAGTATTACTCATAAAATATAGTTTTAACAAAATGTCTATTGTAGTATTTGTATAATTTGCTTTAAAGTGCTAAAAATTGGCATTTTTCTCTATAATCCTATAGTATATGTACCTGTATTTTGAGACGGTCCCTCAAAAATACCTGGACGGTATATATCCCGCAAACTTTGCATGCAGACTGAAGTTAATGTAAGTTATATATGGTATAAAAATGAAGAGATTTGCAATTGTAGTTTTCACACAATAAAACTATAATCGGCCCCCTTAAGCAAACGGAATTTCGATCGACATCTTTTCAGGGTATAACTATGTGTTACACATTAATATTTATTACATGTAGCTGTGCCACTCTTTTAGGGTTGTTCCTCCATATTGAGGGACAAGGAACCCCACTCTTCGGACCCGGGGGTATTGTCACGGGGACAGATCTTCAGCAGTCACTGATACCAGAACTGATGGAGTACTTGAAATTCGCTCACATGAACCAGATCTTTGTGTTTATTTGTCTGTGGAATGGGGCTTTTGTAACCCCCGTCAACAACGAAAGGCTCCAGGGCTTGATTAAGGATGAAATAAAATTGCAGAGCTACATAACAACAGCCCTTACACCGATAGTAAGGATTACATTTTATCAATTTATTTTTTATTGTTTCTGTGTTTGTTGTTTAACGTCCCTCTCAAGAACTGCCCACTCGTATGGATACGCCACCCCTTGTCGGTCTTTTTCGTGCCAGCAAAAGCTTCAGTCGCATGCTTGATGTGTGGTGCAGTGGTTAGAGTCTGATCTAATGTCGAAAAGTAAGGAGTTGATCCTTACGTCGCGGGTTCGAATTACACTGCGGGGCGTGGAGACTTGTCCTTCTGATGAGACCGTTTAAACCGAAGTTCCATGTCGCAGTAGGTGCTGGCACGAAAAAGACCCCTCACTGCTCAAGTGTCCGTAAACTTTTGTCGAGTATAGGTCAGAATGCGATAAATCTTCTTACACAACTGTGTGTCTTTGAGTTGCTTATTCATGGGTTGAATTACTTCAACAAAAAATATTTTATAATAATATCATGTTATTAGGTGACAGCTGTAATGAATGAGCCTGCCTTGGCAGGGTGGGACATTATCAATCAGCCTGAAGGGGTGATGAAGAGGAATGTGTCGGATAAGAATCCCTGTTGGGATAACACGTTTCTGGAACTGAAGGCCTCGGGTAGAGCTATTGGCTGGGCCAAAGAACTGTACACACCTAAGGAAATCCAAAGGTACTTTTATTCTTCATCGCAAATTGCTAGATTCGTGTAAATTAAACAACTGAAAAATTTACTGAAAAGGGTCGTCAAAAATGTGCATCTAAAAAGCCATTGATAAAGAATTCAGAACATATAAATTATTTTTTTAAAGATTCATCAATCTTCAAGCGTCTGCAATTCGTAAACTTTACAAAGCCCAGCAAAAGGAGCCGTTAATTACTGCCAGTTCCTTCAACATCATCACTAACACCTTCCAGTGGAACTGTAAAAACCTGTACCATGACTACTGTTTGAACATCTCAGGGGGCGCTGATGACGTATGTGGATCTAGAAACGTCATAGGATTAATCTTCACCATTCAGTTAACTAACTAAACGGCTACAGAAGGATCTGGAATGGTTCATTAAATGGCCGGGCTCGGTCATTCAGTCACATTCCAGTAGACTTCAGTTATCTTTCGGTAGAATTTCAGTTGACTGAATTGGCAGAAAGGTTCATCCTGTGCATTAAGTCAGCTACACAGTACATGCTGTGGATTCATGTACTTTCCGAAAAATCGGCATAGAAATTAAACTGAAAAAAATGTGCCAAAATATACTAGTATGTCATTCCTGTTATGCTTGAAGAATATAATACTATTTTCTCATCACCCCTAGTGGTTTCGAATTCGTAAGATAATTTCGTCCTTTTAGACTTAGAATTGAATGCTTACTTCAAACCTACTAGAGTATTTAGTAAGTGTTTTACGTTTTACAAACTTTATCTCTATTATGTTACATGTTCGTGTAGCTTGAGAAAGGCGCCTTTGCGCGACAGAGGCAACTTTTGTTGCAATTTTTAAGCCAACTATTTGTTTTACTCTTGTTTTTTATGAAATGGCTCTATTGCTAAATTGATTCTAATTTCCCCAGACGCATGGTCAGAACCCGTAATAAAGTGAACATTTACTCAAATTAAAAAAAAATAAAAAGAGGGGCGGTAGTGGGGAAAGAGTGTTGGGAGGAAGGGAGAGAGTGTTGAGAGGAAGGGAAAGAGTGGGGGAGGGAGGGAGAGAGAGAGTGGGGTTGGAAGGGGGAGATTGGGAAGTAAGGGAAAGATAAAGGGAGGAAAAGAGAGAGATAGTGGGAAGAATGGGAGAAAAAGTGGGGTGAAGGGGAGGAAGATATAGTGAGAAGGACGGGAAAAAAGTGCGGTGGAAGGGAGAGAGAAGTGGAGGAAGATAGAGATAAGCGAAGGATGGGGAAAAAAAGTGGGTTGGAAGGGAGGGAGAGAGAGATTGGGAAGGAAGGGAGACAGAGGAGGAAAAGAGTGTATTGAAAAACAGGGAAAAAGAAGGGGAATGTATATTATTGTGCGTTCATATTTGACACGACATGCCATGAATAATGGCATCCCATTTACTAAGACACCGAAAGCAGAGGACCACAGTTCTTTGAATCTGCTTGCATTGGTTCAGTTTATGAGCACTTCTGACCCTGCCGTCCAATAACTTCTTATTTCTATTTACTAACAGCAACCTCTTCAAATGATTACATTTTATAGACTGGTGTGTAAAATTCAGTCTTTTTCAGGGCTATTTGAGTTTCTGGTCTACACATTCCTTTGATATCAAAAGCGAAGGGCGTTATGATGATTGGGCACCATTCAATGTAAATATGACTAACTTCAATGATTTAGAATTTGACATTTGGAAAAAAAAAATCATACTTTTGAATTCATGTACATTTCTCAATACCCCTGTCCATGAACATACAGCACTATTACACGGAATACCACATGGGTGGCGATCACCTACCTCCCAGACCACTGGTCATTGCAGGATTTAATGAGAAACGAGGGCGCCCCCACTCCAAATGGGATATCGTTAAACAGTTTAACCACCTTTATTCCAATGGTTATTCGGGTAAGTGATAGGTATTATGGGTTTAATTTTATTTTATTTTGTCAAGTTTGACGAGAAGCATGAACAAATGAACTAGGAGACTTATTGTTCAAAGAACAATAAGAGGTCTTTCCACCTTTTGAATTTCAATTTCATTTATAATTTATCTCTTTATGATTAAATTTCATAAAAAGGAAACCAGGAATGGCTTAAAAGAAGAAAAAAAATAAAAACTAAAAATTTTTCAGGTGAATTTGACCTTTGATCTTCAAATCATATTCAAGGTCAAAGGTCAAGGGTCACATTGTAATTAACCTCATGTCTCTATGACTTATAGTTTTAAAGTTATAAGGTTGAATAGTAAGCACAAAAGCATTAAAGGGCAGTAACTCATTCAAGGAGTCACCAGATCCTATTGCGCTTAAACATAAAAGTTTTGCCTCAAGTCCCATCAGACATTAGAGCAGTTTTCATGTCTTTTCGATTTCCGGTTTTGGAGCAATAGCAAATAAAATGTTTTTTGCACAAAGGGCAATAACTTTTAATAGGGTCAATCTTAAGGGACAAGAATGAAATGTTTGAAACAGTTTTAAGAGTACATATTAATGATGCATAGACATTAAACATATGTTGAAAGACAAAAGAGATATAAAAAGAACTAAATTTCTCAGTTTTGGAATGACCTTGACCTTTGACCTTTACATGAATTTTAAGCTCAAAGGTCAATGAATCTTATGCAGTTGGGCGCATGTCTCTACACCTTCTCGTTTTGAAAATTTTTTATTATTTGTAAAATTCAAAAAGTTTCAGGGGCAATAACTCATTGAAGGGGTCACCGAAGACTTTCACAATGAATAGATTCCAGAGTCCTCTCAATTAGTCGAAGACTTTAGTGAAGGTTTCATATTTCTACGGTTTACGGTTATGAAGTAGTAGCGATAACAAGGTTTTTCGCACAAAGGGCGATAACTTTAAATGGGGTCAATCTTACGGAATACGAATTTTACCTTTTAAATAGTTTTAAGAGAACATATTAATAATGCTAAGACAGTTTGTATATGCTAAGCGACAAAAAAGATATAAAAAGAGCTTAATTTCTGAAATTTGGAATGACCTTGACCTTTGACCTTTGCAATAATTTCATGACCAAATGTCAATGAATCTTATGCAGTTGGTCCCATGTCTCTATCACTTCTCGTTTTGAAAATTTTCAATTATTTGTAAAATTCAAAAAGTTTCAGGGGCAATAATTCATTGAAGGGGTCACCGAAGACTTTCGCAATGAATAGATTCCAGAGTGCTCTCAATGAGTCGAAGACTTTAGTGAAGGTTTCATATTTCTACGGTTTACGGTTTCGAAGGAGTAGCGATAACAAGGTTTTACATAAAAGGGGCAAGAACTCCGTAAGGGGTCATAGGTCATATACGTTGGGTTGTTTTTCGAAATAACTTTTAATATCCAATATCATGAACTAAAAGGTTTTTCGATAAGTCTTTCGGTTCAAAAGTCCATAGCGGAAAAATAATAATAATAATAATAATAAACAGAAGCATTTCAAGAGGTCTTTCCACAGAAAGGTGGAAAGACCTAACTATGTATAATATAAGGAATTATAAAAATGTTCATGTTGAAAATATGTACTAGTAGTCGAGCAATGTAAAATTATGCATTCGGATATAATAATTTACATAAATTTATTCGTGAAATATAATGCACATGACATTATACATGTTTTCAGGAACTTAAGTTATTTTACTTCAAAAATTGAGCTCATTTCTTTCACAGGTGGTTGGACATGGCAAATGAACGCACAGGGGTCCGACACGGATGACTGGATAACACAGGCGAAAGGGATTAGTTCCCTGAGAGGAAAATTTGGGATAACCGTGGGAAGCTTCGGTGCTCTAAGCAGTCCCCTGGGATCGTTAATTCCCAAGGATATTAATATTACAGCTAATCCCATTGGAAAATAAATATTTAGATTTCTCTTTTTAATACGAATATCTTAATATATTATCGCGATTTCCCTATTCCGATATGCTGGTACGCACAGTAAGATTTGTATTAATACTTGTTTTAGATTTAAAAATGATTGTATGAAAAAAATGTCATCGTTTATTAATAATCTCAAAAGATATTTAAAATTTTGTACTACACTGTAGGTGTGCTCCAACTTTTGTAGCTCACCTGAGCTAAAAGCAAAAGTGAGCTTTTAAGATCCTCTTTTGTCCGTCTAGCTGTCCGTCTGTGTTAAAACTTTTCTCATCTTCAACTTCTTCTCAAAGAACCAATGGGCCGATTTTAAGTAAAGTTAATGTAAAGCACCCTTGGGTAGCAGGGTGTTCATTTAAAAAGAATCAAGGGCCACCCCCACCACCACGGGAGTAATCCAGAAAATACAAAAATAGTGTGTCAATCTTTTCATCCACTGGGCCAGAAAAGCTGAAAATTATATGGAAACATCTTAGGGAGTATCGATTCTAAATTTTTCAAATCAGGACCCATGGGGATACGTGGGGCCACAATAGGGAATCCAAGTTTTATATTTTAATATAATAAAAAGTCTTCTCAAAAATCACTGGGATAGAAATGCTGAAACTTTTATAGAAGCATCTGACAGGGATCAATATTTTTTTTGTCTATTCCATCATTCTGGGATAGAGTGCATGTAAATTCTAAATTGTAGAAGTCAAAACTCCTGGAAAAGGGTGAAGGGGGGGGGGGGGGGTTGGTGTGTGGCCGTAGTGGGGATTCAAAGTTTTTTGAAATGATGAAAAAGTCTTTCAAAATCTTTTCCAGAACTACAAAAGTTACTCATTAGTATCTTGAAAGATCATCTTTTGGTATCGAATGATGTAGAAGATTATGAATTCAAAGCTTTTCCAATAAATTGCAGTATGGACCATTCTATGCACCATTTCTATGAATAGTCAATTATATTTTAGATTATTCTGAGGTCTCAGTTTCGTTTGATAGGCAGCTTTGGTATTATAGTGACATTGTGCAGACGATACAATCTGAAACCAATTCGACAAAATCTTCAGAATTTGAAGTTCTTCAATGCTATGTTTACAAATAATTGTAAAATTGTGTTCAAATAATACTGAAGCCTTTAATTATGAAGATGTGTTTGTGAAACACTTAATCCGAGATTCCTCTGACTCTAACCCCCGCTTTTATATTGTGACTTGTGCGGGGGAGAGTCAGAGCGGAGACCATATTGAAAAGTGGGAATTCAGCGACACCAGCTGGTGTCGCAACTCGGCCTACCTTTTACAGCTTTATTTCGCGGAGCTAACTCCCGAGACGCGAGAAATCGGTAGAAAAATTATTCTCCTGCTTGTAAATCGTCATTAATACGATGCTTTCGCCGTTTAAACGGCCCTATCACCGGCAAATGAAGCATCACTTGAATTAGGTCGCCTCCTCGCCATTCGACTGCTTTGCGCATGACGTCAGCACACAAATACACAAAATTCCAATCGGTTTGAAAGTAACACGTGCTCAAAACACGTGTGGACCTTTCGGGAAATGATGCAAGTGTTGTGAAAAAATACATTAAACAACATAATGATGTTTCATTTATTTATTGATAAGGAAAGCAACTGTCAAAATCGACTTCTGTGTTAATATGAGGTTAAAAAACAGCAATAACACCAAACATGATATTTTCACGTGATAGTTTGTTTGCGTTTTTGTGTGTGACGTCATGCGCAAGGCAGTCGAATGGCGAGGAGACGACCTAATCCAAGTGATGCTTCATTTGTCGGTGATAGGGCCGTTTAAACGGCAAAAGCATCGTATTAATGACGATTTACAAGTAGGAGAATAATTTTTCTACGATATCTCGCGTCTCGGGAGTTAGCTCTGCGAAATAAAGTTGTAAAAGGTAGGCTGAGTTGCGACACCAGCTGGTGTCGCTGCATTCCCACTTTTCAATATGGCCTCCGCTCTGACTCTCCCCCGCACAAGTCACAATATAAAAGTAGGGTTAGAGTCAGAGGAATCTCGGATTATGAAATACTATGCCCCCGATAGTAACACAATTCTGGAGTGGGACGTAGACTGAAGTGGTATACAACTGTACACCTACTTTAGACAGCGCAATAGTTATGGGCTAGGTTGAAGTTGACAACAGACAGACAGACAGGACAAAACATTATACCCTCGGAATCCGGGGACATCAAACAATGTATGGATGGTAAGATTCGACATTTGTGTATGATGGAAATGCAGTTTCAGAAAATATTTAATTTATACTACAAACCATGTACGGGTTATCTACCATAATAATTCTTAGCTTCCATACTTGTGGTACTATATTATAAAATTCCTTTGATTGTGAAATAGTTGACCATATTTGACCACTTGTAGCTAAACGTGAAATAATTACATAAGTTTTATCAGAGATACTTATACGGTTAAGACACATAATAGTCACGATTTAGACGTTATTTCCTACCTCGATACTCTACTCCGAAATACTCAGAATGCTGATTCCGTGCCTGTTTCTATTTCTTTGTATGCTTAAAGGTAATATAAAAGATTTATTTTGTTTAAAATATTTGCATTGAATTATGAAGTCTTTTATATACGTTTAGAATACTGCTAAACTTACATTTATCAGTTCAATATTCTCTCGGTTACTGTTCTTTCAAATGATTAGATATGTCAAATCTGACGGCACTGTCATTTTATTACATTTGCTCATTAGTTGCCGTTCTTTATCTAAATTTTATACTAAAACTTTCTTTGCAAGTTTAAATTTGAAACTTTCTGTTTACTTTTCCTATCGAAAGCACAATCTCAAGTTAGTCACATAAGCATAATGCAGTAAATATACGCAATTGAATTATACAATGTTTGTAAATTGTTGTTAATTTTGCTTAAAATAAATTACATGGACATCATTGCACAAAATATTCTATCCAATTTTTCCTCAACTACCTTAATATGAAAATGAAATTTGGTCGATCTTTACAAATGCATGTATGCGGTGATTACAGGGAGATATTGTCTTCCAAATGCGCTGATTACAGGGAGATATTGTCTTCCAAAACTAAGTGTAGATAAGATAGAAGGGGTTAGTTAGTTTTATGGATTGGGTGAGATTGTATTTCGACTTTCATACATACTGTTGTTAATGAGATCCTTTATTTTATTTTTAGCTCACCTGAGCTTTTCTGATCACATTTTGTCTGTAGTCCGTCTGTCTGAATTTTTCACATTTTCGACTTCTTCTCAAGAACCACTGGGCCAATTTTAACCAAACTTACCACAAAGCATCCCTTGGTAAAGGGGGTTCAAGTTTGTTCAAATGAAGGGCCAAGCCCTCTTCCAAGGGGAGATAATTATGAATTAATGAAAAAATAATGGTATCTTTTAAAAATCTTCTCCAGAATCATTGGGCCAGGAAAGATGAAACTCATGTGGAAGCATTCTCAGGTAGTGTAGATTTAAGTTTGTTCAAATCATGACCCGCGGGGGTAGGGCGCGGCCACAATGGCTGATCAAAGTTTTACATAGGAATATATAGGAAAAATCTTTTAAAATCTTCTTCTCTAGAATCATTGGGTCAGGAAAGATGAAACTCATGTGGAAGAATCCTCAGGTAGTGTACATTCAAGTTTGTTCAAAGCATGACCCCTGTGGGTAGGGCGGGGCCACAATGGCTGATCAAACTTTAAGTTTAACAGGAAAATATAGGGAAAATCTTCTTCTCCAGAACCTTTGGGCCAGAAAAGATGAAAATCAGACGGAAGTATTCTCAGGTAGTGTAGATTCAAGTCTGTTCAAATTATGACAACTGGGGTTAGGGTGTGGCCACAATGAGGAAAGTTTTGCATATATAATATATAAAGAATATATAGTAAAAGATCTTCTCCAGAACAGAATAGTTTTGTTTAGTCAAATTGACATGTAAGTATCTGCAAGTAGTGAAGATTTAAATTAATTCAAATAATGTCCTGGGTTGGGGTTTGTCAGGGGTTGCAATGGGAGATCGAGTAATATGTTGGAAACATCTTTTTAAAAATCTTCTTTTCAAGTATGGCAAAATTATACATGTATGCTTTATTGATATAGTGACATTCTCAAATAATAGAAAATTCAAATCCCCCTACCCCAACAAGTAAGCTTTTCAATACTATGCTGATTTGTGTTTTTTTAACTAGCCCGTGTGCCCAGGTGAGCGATGTGGCCCATGGGCCTCTGTTTTTTATTGGGACAGGTTCCCTCTGCGACTTTCATGATCCCTGTCAAAATCACAAATGCCAAGTTGGCCAGAAAGCTGTATGGAACATATTCAAAGGATCATGTGACTGTAAGCCCCCCTCTCTCTTTGTCTGTCTATAGCAATCTGATTAAAATCAGATCCTTTGATCCGCTCACATAGACCTTGAGTAGCGATCTATGTGAGCGGATCAAAGGATCTGATTTTAATCAGATTGTGTCTATAGAATCTCTCTCTCTCTCTCTGTCTCTCTCTCTCTCTCTCTATAATCAATAACCCTTGTGTTTTAAGGAATCGCTGTGTTGTTTGGCAAATTTTTAGATAAACAGCATATGAGCTTTAAAACTTTTCATAAAAAAATGATGCTCATATTTCTAGAGAGAGAAATTAAGAATTGAATTTGAACTTTTAAGACATGTAGTTTTGCCGGTGCATAAATGCATTTTCAACGAAAAACTATGTTTAACAGAACCTTTTTGAAGGATATATAATTTCTCCCTTCAAAGGCTACTGCACAGGCAACAGGGGTTGTAGCTATCTAGGATGCCCACATCCATACTGCACGCAGTTCTTTGGTATATTTTCCACTTGCCACTGTGGAGGTAGGTCAATGGTGCACTAGGGTATGGAAAATTAAATTATATTCTTTTATACGATTTCATGTGCAGTTTTCTTTTCAAGCATTGCGTGTCACAGCTGATTCCTCAAAGGACATTTTTTCCCAGTCCGTTTTAATTTTGTTCGAAAATTGTATCCGTTACTTCATTATAAGTTTTTGATATCAAATTAAATAGAATTGAAATTTCACAAGCTATTCTATCTTCGTGTGCTGTATAAAACACAAAACTCACACTTTGGTGGTAGAGTTCCTGTATTATTATTAAATGTTCTCGCTTTCAATTTTTTGACAGAATGTACAACGGACAGACATTGTAAATGTGGAGTTGGGGAGACGGGGAAATGTAACATAGACTATCGACATCATCCCACTCACTTCTGTGAATGTCTGGGTAGGTAAAAATCAAAACACACACTGTCATAAATACTACTTTTCCTCATGGTAATGGGACAATAATTTGGTTCTGAAGAGGTCAGTTTTGGCAGAATTTGGAAATAAATAATGAGTCCTCAAAAGTTTGAAAATAAGACCATACCATACATCCATTATTCTGATGATTTGGTCATTTGGTTTTTTCACAAATATTCGCATATTTTTCATAGGACCAAGTTCCTCTACTGTTAGAACTACCCCACCCACAACCAAAACCACCCCAACAACTACCAAGACCACTCCAACCACAACCAAATCTACCACCGCTTTACCACTGGTAAGACTAGAATGTCACGACCATAAAATCGGTGTGATAGAGGCCATTGCAGAAAATGTGCATGTACAGGACCACAAAGCAGCAGTATGTCCAAACAACAAACACGAATCCTCCGAGGCTTATATCATCAACAAATGTAATACAACGAGAAGAAGCCACTGGAGAAAGGGTTCTTCTGTAAGCTTACGTCCATTTGGTATTTTATCACTGTAAACAAGGGAATTTACGCCCCAGTTTCATTTTCGCCCCTTTTCGTCCTACTCGCAGACTGATGAATTTTTAAAACGGGATGACTTCGAAGGATATAATTTCTGAAACAGATATGTGACTGGGCAAACGCTGTTTCAAAAAAGAAAATACACGGGATAACCTTGTATATATTTGTGTTCTTAGTAAACTAAAAATCATTTAGAAGCCTGAGAAGATCAACTAAATATCTCATCGATAAATTATACAATCTCATTGCCAATAAAACGGTCTTTATTTTGTTATTCAGTTAATGTATAAGAACTGAAATAGGCAAAAATTTAATTGCAGATTAAAACTGAGTGTGAGAAAGGCCATCGCATAACTCCTTACACACCTATTTCTACATTTCTTCGCAGTGGAGAAAACATTGCGGGTTTCTTCATCAGTTGCAATAAACAAGGCTTTAAGGTAAATAATATTATACATTGTATATTTTTAAAGCTAAAGGGTACTAAAATATAAATATATGGAATTACTAGTTTCATGTGAAATGGATTCAGATTGTTTCAAAAAGCATCGTTTATTATTCAAAAATTCTCATTATGGTACGTCACAAACAATCTGCTTTTTATAATTACTGAAATATTTCGAAAATATATTAACTTTAGTTAATAAGTGCAATTTGTAGTTATGAAGTTGATATGACTTTAAATTAACTTTAATTTCCAACAGTTAATAACGTAAACTTCAATTGAGAATATTAATTTTATTAAAAAAAAAAGTAATGAAATGCAGGGTTTTCATATTTTCCCTAGTATCATGGAAAGACAATTAAACAATATATCCTTAACACTAATTGAACTGAATGACAAAACCAAAGAAAAGTGATTTACTAAATTAACCTGTAAACAGTACAGAGCACAGCATGATGATATGGAGTGCATAAGAAAAGTGTGTGACTAGTTGACAAGCGATGCTTATTCCTCTATAGCACCTGATTCAGTCTCCTGGGTTTCAGGGGCACGCGGTGATTTCTAAAGTCAAAATTGGTAGAAAACAATGGCCTTACAATTAGTAGGAATCATGATAGGCAAAATAGGTTGTATCTGCCAACAAGATCATTATAAGTATAGAAATTTAAAATGGTGACTGAAAAATATTCCTGAAAGCCCGTGTTATCAATTTATTTGCCAGTATCCTGCTTCGGTTCATAATTTGAATGAAACTAAAATATCATTAAACAATGCATATAAACATTTGCTTTTAAAAAATAGGATATGCTAATCAGCTTAAAAGAAGCTTGTGCGAGATTTTGAATCTGCTAACTTTTAAACTTTTACATTTTCAAAAATGGTTATTTTTTATTTTCCAGATGGCCGCGCAGTCCTGCACAGACGCGCCGATGGTTACTAACGTTACCCAGTTCACCATTCCCCATCTGACCGATTTTTACACTATTTTATTACCAACTCAAGCTTGAATTGAACAAAAATCACACTGAATCATAATGCACATTTCATTAAAGTTTTTTTTAAAGTCTTACAATGTGTTAAAAATTAATTTTGAAAGAATTAACAGATTGTTAATTATAATAGCTAGAGTGTTCCAAGGAACGCATTTGTCGCCTGCTTTTAGCTTCTTTAAAGATGTAACTGAATCTAAGAGTGGTCGGCTATTTATATGCTACTAAGCAATCCATATACAGTACTTTTAAAAATCTAGCATGAATGTTCATAAATGCACAAAAAACATCCAAACATAGTATAAGACTGCGATTGAGTACGTCAATAAAAAAAAAATATGATTCTCAAACCTCAAATGAATAATTAAGTTGAAATCATTATCAATATTTATCATTTTATACATATTTTTTTAATATGTGTTTCAAAGTCTTCCTTCCAAATTGTCGCTCTATATGTTCCGTTCTGGGATCCCGATCCCAGTGTATTTTCATAATATTTAAATATCAGTTTGTGTGGCTACTGAATAACATACAGTTTCAACGAACAGTATTATGAGCTCATAAACATGTATGCATGATAATTATCAACACCCGCCAAAAAGATTCAAAAGTCTTAAGTTGAAACTAACTTGCCAGAGTATTCTTTTTAAAGCAGGTCAAAGGTCAAGTGAACTGTAACGCTGGTATTTTTCACTTTTATAACAATCAGTACACATGCTAAAATAGCATAGAATTGCCCCCCTTCAATGTCAAAAATATGCTGTACATTGGAACGTTTAACTTTTAGTAAAGTAGGTCAAAGGACAAGGTCAAGGATCACGAGGTCGGGAACCATGATACTAGTATATTACACATGCCATAGTGGCAAGCAATAAATGTGCAGCATTCCTGAGATACAAGGTGTGACAGACGGACAGACGCCGGGTACAGTGATCCATTAGTGCTCTGCTCCGCGGGGACACATATCAGAAAGGTTCGTTAAATTCTGCATTTTTTGTATTTATAGCGTTACAAATAGGATTCTGTACAAATTTCAGTCCAGAAAAATCCAGTCCTTATTAATGCCATTATAATAAAAACACCTGTGGAAAACTTAATGTATTTTTTGAGGGTTTTCTCCAAATTTCGTAGACAAGTATTGTTTACGAACCTGCTGCCATATATTAATGAATCTTTGTACAAAGATAATAACATCACTAACAAATAAATTTATGAACAAGTATGCATTGCCCACAAAATGAACCCTATTCAACTGATGCACTTCAATGTCTGGTGTGAGAAGGTGGCGCAGTACCAAAAAGTTGCAATTAAAAATCGGTATAATATATTTTAAATCCTTCGGAAAAGTGAATAGAATACTCATCTGCACTGTTGACACTGATTTGGTGGTCCTGACTGTGTTTGTTGTTCAAATTTTGAACAGACAGACCTATGGTTAGCCTTTGGAACTGAAGACAATTTCCGTCACTTGGAAGCACATATAATTGCACGTGGCCTTGGCCCCAGAAGGGCTGTAGCACTTCCAATGTTTAATGCGCTGACCGGATGTAACACAGTTTCCAGCTTTGTTGGGCATTACAAAACTGCATGGAAAATGTGAAAAGTCCTAACCGAGCTCACTGATACACATCTTAAATTAGTTTGTGCGCCAACTAACATACCTAGCAAAGTTATGCAAGCCATTGAAAGAATTTGTCATCCTTCTCTATGAAGGAACCGGTGCATGACATAAACCAAGAATGACAAAAGGTATACGCAAGGAAACTGAATGTGAAACAATAAAAAGCCAACTATGGCAGCTCTAGCAGAATATGTAAGACGATCAAGCAACCTATACCGGGGGGGGGGGGGGCATGTATGGGGACAGACACTGCTACCGAATCCATTACTGCCCTCCCCTATCAACTGGGGCTGGAATATGACAGAGGATGGACTGTATGACCCAAAATGTTCCACACTGTCAGAAGCCTCCTAAGTCTCTTTTGAGCCAGTAAGATGCAACTGTGACTTGAAAAAAAGGAATGAAAGTCAAAAGAGTGTAGTTGCAAATCTCAGATATCATTGACAAGTGTACTAGCATGTGTTGATGTGAAAGAGCTTGCTGCAAGTCAGTATGAACTATGAATAACTTTCTCAGTGCTTTAATTGTGGTCGCCTGATGCTTAATAGTACATACAATTAAAACTATTGGTACTGTGAGCAATGAGCTCACTAAATGATACCCCCGCCTCTCATATGATTGTAACCAGGGTTATGTATTAATGTCAATGCTTATATTTACTTGCGCTGCGTATATGTGAGAATGTGGTATGAAAGACTTAGTATGAATGAGGTAGTAATTATTTTTAGACACTAGACGGACAGTCACATGACTTTATTCTATTCACCAAATTCCCGCTTTCACGCACTAACATCGGACACTCTTAGCCTAGCCGTTGATCGAGTTAGATGTCTATATCATACAGATAGTAATATTTGTGAATTCTTGTGTGTGTTTCGGTAAGAAATATATTCTAAAGTAAAGTCTATTATGGTTTAATTATCTGTCTAAATGTCTATGTGTCGTCTATATGTTTTGTGTAACTGCAGGTTTGAATTCTACGTTTAATAAAATATTGAACCTGTACCAGACATAGTCGATTTCTGGTAATCTACTACTGGCTACATGATGGTTATAATGACAAAGTACCTGTTTTGCTCTTGGAGATCCGAAATAAGTGTCAGATCGAAAAGTAAAATATCGAATAGCGGGTTATTTTAGCGGGGTGCTAATTTTGGCTCATTTTGGTGTTTTAATGATAGTCCGCTAAAATTTTGATCGCTAAAATTGTCATACTCTTCTTAGTGTCCATCTGCAAACAGCTGAAACCCTGTGTCCGTTAAAATAAATTACGCCAAAATATTGGCATACCTTTGAGCAGGCAAAACGCCAAATTTTACACCCGCCAAGAAAACCCGCTATACGGTAAGAGGTGCACAATTTCATCATGTAAAACACAATCTGTGAAAGTTTTATTAAATTTTGTCCAGTGGTATAGGAGGAGTTGCAGATAAGAGATGGGTACCCTTCAATACTAGAGAAAAAATGGTAGTGTCAATGTTTCGCTGTGGAAAACCCAAAATATGTGTCCGATCAAAAAGTAAAATAGGAGGTGCACAATGGCATTATATAACAAAGATTCTATGAAAGTCTCATCAAATTTCATTCAGCGGTATAAGAGGAGTTGCGGATAAGAGATAGGTTCCCCGAAGCGTAACAGACAGACGGACGGACATAACGATTACTATATACCCTCCCGCTTTTCAGGCGGGGGTATAATGAAAATTTCTCAAAGGGACATAAAGCTCCCAAATATTCAAATCATAGAGAACGTTTAACATGCACGTCTATTTTGGGACAATACTTGTATTTGGACCAAGAAAGAAGCTTGCAAATGTTCAAGCAACAACCATCTCAATCTTCAATGGAGAATGATGTAGCGTTCCGTGAAGACCAAGCTGATCGTAGGATAAAATTTTCACCTAGATGAGATGGCGCACAGCTATAATAGATGTTTTACGCATGGTTGTTATATCCGGTCTTCCATATTTAACGTCGCCCGCGTGGCGCAGTAGTAAGAGCGACTTCTCTAGAGTTGTGAAGTAAAGGGATAATCCCTTCGTCGCGGGTTCGAATCCCACTTTGGGACGTGGAAACCAGTTCTTAGGATGAGACCATATAAACTGAGGTCCCCTGTCGCAGTAGATGCTTGCACGATACAGAATGGCCCTGAGTGCCGTGTTAAGAGCAAAATTTGCAGCTCTCCACCAGGAAGTAGTGGCGTCTCCATATGAGAAATGATATGTTTTCAGTTTCTTTTTTAATCTTTTTGTCAGACCTGCATGTCATGCATATAAGGCATATTATTTAAAGGTACTTGGACACAGATTTGAAGTTATTATTTTCTCTATAATATTACGACTTATATATTTTAATAGCATTTCACACAAAAATTAATTAAAAATCTTATTTCGTTTAAAAGATATTGAAATTTCAATTTTTTCGGCGGGTTTGATTGACATATCCTTGCACTCTCACAAATTTAATTTTATTCTTAATCCTTAGGAAAAGTGGCAATCTCGTTTTGTATAAATGAAAAATATTAATACTATAATCCAGAAAATTCAGAGTAGACACGTTCGAAAGCAAAACAAACACACAGTATATTGTCAGTCCGTGCAGTTGTGGTAAGCAGACTGTGGCGATTGAACGCACCCGGTGAATTCTAAATATAAACAATAACAGAACTCGAGCCCTGTTTACAAAAACTGTGTACATAACACGTGTGTGCTCGATTTGCTAAACTCTGTACGCATCTGTTAGTTCGGAATGACGATACTTGTGAAGGTGTTTTGCTTTCTAACATTTCGACTCTGAATAAAATTATTTTTCTTGATAAAAGTATTAATATTTCTCATTAAAACACATCAAAATTGCCACTTTTCCTAAGGATTAAGAATAAAGTCAAAATTTGTGAAAGTGCAAGGATGTGTCAATCAAACCCGCCAAAAAGTTTAAAGTTTTAATAACTTTTAAATGAAATAAGATTTTTAGTTAATTTTTGTGTGAAATGCTATTAAAATATATAATTCATGATATTATACAGAAAAAATGAGAAAATATTAACTTCAAATCTGTGTCCAAGTACCTTTAAGAAACGAATTTAATTTTTGAAGATTCATGAGGTTATGAACTACGACGCTTCACGCCGGCATATTTCATGAAGCGCGTTCGCGCTTCATGATATATATGCCGGCGTGAAGCTGTGTAGTTCATATACCTCATGAATCTTTAAAAAATTAAATTCATTTTTTTATATTTACATTGTTTTTCTGATGACTTGCCATAACTTTACGCCGTTCAACTGTCATTTTTAAAACAAAACAGTGTGCACTATATTTTTGGACTTTTTGACGTCAAGACGTAACAATGGAGATATTCATGCTTATTCGTGGTACATACCTAATGTAGTTCACGATAAAATATACTGCATTTTATTTTGTAAAGAATCATAGGGGAAATTTAATGGAAATGTAAATATTAAGGAATGTTTTTAAGTTTTATGTGAGTTATTGGTGTGTGAATCACACAGACTTGTCACGTAGGCATATTTCATGAAGTGCGCTAGCACTTCATGAAAAATATGCTTACGTGCAAGTCTGTGTGATTCTCACACCAATAATTCACACTAAACTTAAAAACATTCCTTATATTTACATTTTACATGTTTGGAAGTAACTAAAATATACTTATTATTTGAATTTCTCGCTGCTCTATATCGTTGCATTTTTACTAACGTTTCTGCAGTCTCATTGTGACGTCACGTTAACGCACGTTTCTCCGTGTATATTTCTACGCGTGAGTATACACGAAAATGGTATTCAAATCACTTCACTATTTGCTTAGCAGAAAAACACCGCTAATGTAAATATATCTAAATGACAAAGTTTATGAGCAGAATATATCTAGTAGCATTTTTGCTTGTTATATCCAAAAACGAGCTTATCTGTATAAAAAGGCAACTTGTTAAATTTTAAGGTCACCTGAGTAAACTCAGGTGACCTATTGCTATCTGTTTTCGTCCGTCGTCGTGCGTTGTGCGTTAACATTTGAACATTTTCAGCTTCTTCTCTGCAACCACTGAACCAATTTCAACCAAATTTGGCACAAAGCATCTATGGGTGAAGGGGAACAAAAATTGTGAATTTCATGATCCCTGCCCCCCAGGAGCCTGAGGGGTGGGGCCAAAACCACTAAAATTAATGCAATCTTTAAAAATCTTCTTCTTTACTCCTGGGCATCAAGCAGTCAAACTGTTTGCATGATTGTAATCAGCAATGAGTCCTCTACCAAAATTGTGAAATTCATGGCCCTGGGGTCAGGGGTTCTAGTGCTAGGGTGGGGCTAAATAAGTAGGTAGTGAAAATGCATTATTTCTTTGAAAATCTTCTTCTCTGCTCCTGGGTATTAAATAAACTAACTAAGTACATAGTTATGATGAGCAAGAGTGCCTCTACCAAAATTGTGAATTTTATGGCCCCAGGGTCAGGGGTTCTGGTGTTAGGGTGGGGCTCTATTGATTATATAGTGAAAATAAGGAATTCTTTGAAAATCTTCTTCTCTGCTCCTGGGTATTAAATAAACTAACTAAGTGCCTAGTTATGCTGAGCAAGAGTGCCTCTACCAAAATTGTGAATTGTATGGCCCCAGGATTAGGGGTTCTGGTATTAGGGGGGGGGGGGGGGCTCTATTGATTATGTAGTGAAAATACATGAATTCTTTGAAAATCTTCTTCTCTGCTCCTGGGTATTAAATACACTAACTAAGTGCATAGTTATGATGAGCAAGAGTGCCTCTACCAAAATTGTGAATTTTATGGCCCCAGGGTCAGGGGTTCTAGTGCTATGGCGGGGCTGTATAGATTATGTAGTTAAAATACATGAATTCTTTGAAAATCTTCTCTGCTCCTGGGTATTAAATAAACTAACTAAGTGCATAGTTATGATGAACAAGAGTGCCTCAACCAAAATTGTGAATTTTATGGCCCCAGAGTCAGGGGTTCTGGTGTTAGGGTGGGGCTCTATTGATTATATAGTGAAAATACAGGAATCCTTTGAAAATCTTCTTCATTGCTCCTGGGTATTAAATAAACTAACTAAGTGCATAGTTATGATGAGCAAGAGTGCCTCTAGCAAAATTATGAATTTTATGGCCCCAGGGTCAGGGGTTTTGGTGTTAGGGCGGGGCTCTATAGATTATATAGTGAAAATTCATTTAATCTTTAAAAATTTTCTTCTCTGCTCTAGGGTATTAAGCAGATGAACTACCTATATAGTTATGATCTACAAGGGCCCTAATCTTCCAGAATTGTGAATTTCAGGGCCCCAGGGTCAGGGGTACCATGGGGGGGGGGTGTACTTATATACTGAAAATGAATGAATGGTTTGAAATCTGCTCCTTGGTATTAATCAAATATCAAGGCCTAAGGGTCAGGGGTTCATGTGTGGTAGGGGCACTACTGATTATTGCTGAATATAACTGATTAGTTGAAATGCATTTTTGTTCCCCTACCTTGTGTATGGGTATTAAGTAAACAAACTAAGCAACTGCTAAGTGTATTGTTATGATGAATTAAATTTAATTACTGGAAAGTTGTTGCATAATGCTCAGGTGACCTATAAGGCCCATGGGCCTCTTGTATAAAACGAACTTGATACTAGTTATACCCCCCGCTTGAAAAGCGGGAGGGTAAATAGTAATCGGTATGTCCGTCCGTCCGTCTGTTACGCTTTGGGGTACCAATCTCGTATCCGCAACTCCTCTCAAACCACTGCATGAAATTTGATGAAACTTTCCCATAATCTTTATTACACATTGCCATTGTGCACCTCCTTTTTTATTTTTTGATCTGACACATATTTTGGGTTGTCCAACAGCAAAACATGGACACTGCCATTTTATATCTATATGGGAGGCGGGGGCTATCATTTAGTGAGCTCATTGCTCACAGTACCTCTAGTATTTAGAACTACATACTGAACACGTTGCAGTCCTTGATGATAATTCCGTTACGTGTGAATCGGTTCTGAAAATTTGTCACCGGTTTTTATCGAAATGCATAAGAATTTATTATTGGAACACCACGATAAGGATCATTGGTTGTCGGATTTTTATATAACCGATCACGAGGTAATTCATGCTAGAAGAATTGTTATTCCACGGGCAATTAAGATGAAGGCGATTTTCATCATACTTTTTATGCTGATGAGCTGCATGTTTGCAAGTATTTATTTATTTATTTTTGTTTTATTTGTGTTAAGAGGAAAGAAATGATTATTTAAAATATAGTTTCAGAAATGATGTTTTTAAATTTTTTTTTTTAAAAGTGCCAGAAGTTTTGTTTTCTTTAAATTAGGTTCTTTCTTATTAAATTTCAACTTCTGTTCGAGTGAGAACTGACTTTGAATTAAGCAATAAAGTTTTCCTGGATGTGAAACAAAACATTAAAGAAAAGAAATTCAAATGTCTAAGTTCCTTAGAAGAGGAGCAAAGGTGGATTCAGTGCCGACCTGACCTCCGCCTCTATTTGAAAATGCGTTTCTTTAACTTCACTGTCTATTCAGTAGAGTATGCCGTTCGATAACATTCTTCTAAACATAACATACTTCTAAACGTGGGATAAAATATTTTGCTTAACGGGCGAATCCAGTTAATTATCGCACGTTTCAAACTATCGTTGGTGTCCCTGGCATACTCTACTAACTAGACAGCGATTCCTTATAATTCCATTTCATTGTGAAATAAAACTGTAAATTTAAATATATATTAATAGACAAATTTCACGAGGCCTCCCATGTCAATTTTAATAGTCCTCACACGCTGACGTCAAACACAAGCGCAGTCGCACAAGATTTACATGCATATTTGGCCTCGATAGCGTCATTTGAACACAAAGACAAATGCACGAGATATACATGCATTTAAGGGGAGATTTCTTAAAGCGGAAAGAGCATTAGTGTGGTTCCCAATGATATAAAGAATTATTAAAGCTTATATAGCAAAATTTTAAAGACTGACATTTTTATGAGTGCATTTCAAAAGAATTCTTGAACTGCCCACACCATCTCTTACTAGTTCCCCCAGTTAGAAGCTTGTGTTGACGCATGTGTAGGCAAAGATACTACATGTTCATATTTTCCAATACTGCTGAAAAGGCCTTCCTCAGTTAGACGGGGAAATTTTAAAAGTGAGACAGCACTTTCTGGTATTTTTAAGAATGCATAGCAGGAATGTGAAAAAAATTCCTTATCCAAGTAAAAATAATTGAGTTTTGTTTTTTAAAACAATTGTACAATTCTACTCATTTTCAGATTTGCTCTCTCGGTATAAAAGGGGACCTTATAAAGATCATTAAATTACTTACAAATGTATTATTTCGAATCAATTACTAGTACTTCGCGGGTTCCATTGTTCGGGCGGACGCAGAGAACCTGTAGTTCTTCAAATGAGACTATATAATAATAAATCGAGGCCCTTTGATTGCTGGCACGAAAAAGATCCCTCACTGCTCAGTGGCAGCAAGCGCCGATTATAGGACAAATTTGCAGCTCGCAAACGGCAAGCGGTGGCGTCTCCAAATGAATGAAAATTCTCGAGATGGACGTTAAACAAACGAAAGGGAATGGGATTTAGGGGTAGAAGGCACAGCCTATTTCATTCTTTCCACTATTTCTGACAGCATGAATGACTTTAAATACAAATATAGATATTGATTACGTATTATGTTAATTACGTATTCCAGGTCTTTTCCAGGTGGTTGTCGCAGTGATAGTGATTGCAGCTCCGAGTGTCAAGAGGGCCTTCATCCACACTGTTCTAACTATCATCATAAATCATCGTGCCATTGTTATGGTATAGTTGATGGATTCATCATTTCATTGTTACTGTATAATCTCAGGAGTCTGAAGTCTTTATGGTCCAAAAAAAAAAATCCGGAAAAAAATTTCTACCCTCAATTAAAAAGAACACTAGAATGGCAACGTGTTATGGGGGGACCCACCTAAACAAATAGATATGGGCTTGGTCAGAAAAATCTAGCAACTAAATAAGTATCCGGAGTGTTTGTGTTATTTATTCAAGTTGAAAAATCCAATCCCCGGATACTGAATTAGTTGCGAGATTTTTCTGGCCAAGCCTAGATCAATTTGCTTAGATGGGGTCCCCCCATAACACGTTGCCATCCTGATGTTTTTTTCCGACGATAAAAATTCTCCTGTGGCATAATAAATGCATTCATTGTGTCATTGTTACGATATAATTAATGTGTTTATTATGTCATTGTTATTATTGCATTCATGATCATGTCATTGTTACGATATACTAAAGGAATTCATCATGTCATTTTACGGTATATTTATTGCATTCATCATCATGTCATTGTTACGGTATAACTAATGCATTCATCATGTCATTGTTACGGTATAACTAATGCATTCAACATGTCATTGTTACGGTATAACTAATGCATTCATCATGTCATTGTTACGGTATAACTAATGCATTCAACATGTCATTCTAACTGTAGAATTAATGGATTCATCTTGTAATTGTTTGGATAAAATAAATGCATTCATCATCATGTCATTATATAACGGTATTATTAATTAATGCATTCATCATGTCGCTGTTAAGATATTATTAATGGATTCATCATGTCATGTTATGTTTGGTTAATTTTATGGTACGGAGACTACATGCAGTATGCTGAAAATTATTTCTTAATGTATGTCCTTTTTATGTATGTAGAAGTTTCATACGATCAGAAAATAATTTTTATGCGCTGGGGCGTATATTGTTTTTGTCCTGTCTGTTTGTCTGCAAACCTTCGCCATAACTTTTGAACCATGAAAGATAGTGACTTAATATTCAACATGCATACAATAAGCTCTTTCAAATGACACCGAGGTCAATGACGTTGTGACCTATATGCTAAAAATAGTTTTTTTGTACCTTCGCCATATCTTTTGAACCATAAGAGATAGAGACTTCATATTTTTCAAATTATTGTAATTATGAAAAATATACTCCACTAATCAACATCTTTAAAATGACATCAAGGTCAATGACCTTATGACCTTGACTGTGACCTATATATGTATGCTAAAAAAGAGCTTTTTTCGAACTTTGTTGCCATTGGGCGCATGGTGTTTCACAAACACATCTTGTTAAACACTTATTCTTGATATGCTCCAGTATGTACAGAAGATAGCCACTGTCCTTGCAAAGAAGGAGAAACAGGCAAATGTTTGAAGGATGACGGCCACCATCGATATTGCCAATGTCAGGGTATGTAAGAAAAAACTAGAACATTCAATCTTTATAAGATGTATTTCCACCATTCGTGGGAGGATAGTGATCATGATGTCTGTCTCTCCGTCCGTTCGTCTGTTACGCTTTAGGGTACCCATCTCTTATCAGCAATTTCTCTTTTACCACTGAAAATTTAATGAATCTTTGTTATAAAGTGCCATTGTGCGCATCCTATTTAACTTGTTGATCGGACATATATTTCGGGTTTCCCAGAACAAAACATCAGCACGGCCATTTTTTTCTATGATTATTAAATAGTACCCATCTCTTATCCGCAACTCCTCCTAGAAAACACCTGTCGACAGATTCTTTATTACATAATGTCATTGTAAACTTCCTTTTACTTTTTGATTTGACACTTATTTCGGGTCTCCCAATGCAAAACATGGACTTTGCAATTATTACCATATGGGAGGCGGGAGTATCATTTAATGAGGTCATTGCTCACAGTAGCTGTAGTTAAACTTTTATTTCATTTTTCATATTTCTTAGATATCACAGCAAAGACTTTGCCTTTATTTTTTCAGCCCCCAGCTGTTCAGTAAACCGTGATTGTCAATGTCATGAAAACGGAAAACATCCCTACTGCTCCGACCATCTCCATGTTTGTCATTGTTACGGTAGTATAAATATTAACTTATTATAGAAGTGTTACATGTAACGTTATCCATTTGAATGAGGAACTTTTTGATAGTCCTTAACACCCTCTAAATTAATAGGTCTTATGGATAAATGATACCCATTTACAGGTATGGTCATTGTTGTTGAAAGAATTTTTTTATGACTTCAGTAGTGATATCAGAGACATATATATGTCTCTGGTGATATATATCAAAATATTTACATTTGCTGTGTTTTTCTAGAAAGACAACTGTGAAATTGATTCGAAAACCATTTTCGTGTATACTCACGCATAGAAATATACACGGAGAAACGTGCGTTAACGTGACGGTCACAATGAGGCTGCAGCGACGTTAGTTAAAATGCAACGATATAGGGCAGCGAGAAATTCAAAAATTGAGTATTATATTGCAGTTGTTCCAAACCTGTAAAATGTAAATATAAGGAATGTTTTTAAGTTTTGTGTGAGTTATTCACACAGCAATAACTCACACAAAACTTATTAAAAACATTCCTTAATTATATGCAACAAAAATTATTTGTAAAAATAGACTATAATGCCCATAAAATATATACTGTATGTATAAAAAATTCTTACAAACTTAAAGAGTGAAAATCTAACTCTGGAATTGTCAATTTTCTATATGAGTTAACAGAGAAAGTAGGCACAAAATTTCCTCATTTAAGTGAGTTTTTAGATGTTGTTGAACATTTAAATAGACAGCAGGAATTTTATTTAGGACCCTTCAGCTCATTACAGTATATTTTGCATATTGTTTTCTCCATAATTTTTTATTTGAGTTAAGTATCAGGATAAAATATAGGTCAAATTTGTCTTTATACACTGGATACATATTAATGTGTTTAACCCTCGCTTGAAAAGCGGGAGGGTATATAGTAATCGGTATGTCCATCCGTCTGTCTGTTTCGCTTTGGGGTACCCATCTCTTATCCGCAATCCTCTCATACCACTGAATGAAATTTGATGAAACTTTTACAGAATCTTTGTGACATATTGCCATTGTGCACCTCCAATTTTACTTTTTGATCCGACACATATTTTGGGTTTCCCACAGCAAAACATGGACACCGCAATTCTATTTATATGGGAGGCGGGGTATCATTTAGTGAGCTCATTGCTCACAGTACCTCTAGCTTTTATTGCATTTATTATTAGTGTAAAGGAAGGCTGCATATAGGCGTTTCATAGTTTCCGCATTGTTTAAATTTTAATAAATAATGTAATACGCTAAGAAAGGTATTCTTAAATTTAATTTGCTGCACAAGTCCTAAGGATTTCCTTATTTTATGAGACTTTGAGGGCACTTAACCCAGACACAGGATGAAACTCTGCCATTCACTTAGCTCATAGGCGTCAAAACGGGGGATGGGACTTAGCTACTCTACTTTTTTTTTGCAAAGATGGACATAATATAGAGATTGAACATTGGGACGTAATTTTAGAGCCCCCCACTTTCAACATGCACGTTCTACTTTTGGTCAAGAAAAGGTACATATTTTAAAGATTCCTGGATCCGCCACTGTGAATGGTTTATGTTCATTCTTCGGGACTGTGCATTTGTTCTTATTAACTTTACACAAGTATCGATTTTTTTTTTACAGCAATAGTTTCACTCCTTGAAATATTCTACTTTTAATTATCTTTTTTTTCTCAAGCATAATTATAATCTATGTCTTTATTTTGACCCAGACTGCACCAGAGACAGTCACTGCCATTGCAAAGCAGGAGAAAGTGGGAGTTGTGAAAGAGACCGTAGTGATCACCATCTATACTGCCATTGTCACGGTATGTCAATTGTAGAAAGTAAATATTACGTATCGTACGATATATGTGCGATAAGAAGAATATTAATTTTCAAGAAACTTCTTCTCAAATTAGGGATTTTATTTTATATTTTGACAAAAAAGAATTTGGGACATACTTTAAAAATTGCAAAGATTAAGATCAAAATTTTAAACATTCTGTATATGTAAAAGACCTTAATTTGCATGTTAAATTAAAAACCATTAATTTGAAATTCTGCTTGAAAAATAAATTTTTGTATTACTATTTTCCTACACGGGCCTTTATTCATTTTTAGGTCGAAAAATCAAGGCCAGTAATATATATATATATATATATATATATATATATATATATATATATATATATATATATATATATATATATATATATATATATATATATATATATATATATATATATATATTGCAAAAAAGGTTTTCCATGTAATATCTCTAGTCTTTGTGGGTTTTTTTTCTTTCACTGAAGTAATAATTCCTTGTGACTTTAATGACACTCGTATTGATTTTAAGGTCAAAGATCAAGGTCAGAAAATGGTTTCCAGATGATAATTTAAATTAAATTTCTTTTTTTGAAAAATAAAATATCATATCATCAGTCCCAGTGACTAAAAGTTCTCCATTCAGGTCAAATTCCCCATGTGTAAAATATTTTCATGGTCTTATCGTTGGCTAATGTGACTTTAAAAAAGAGGTCTATCGATTTTGAAATCAATTAAAGATTTAAAGACTAAGGTCAGATGATTATATGAATGCATATTTTCAGGTTGAAGTATTTAAGTTAGTCTTAGTTTTGTTGTTGGGTCTCCTTACTTCCTTTTTCTAATAGTAGTCAAATATATTTATCTCATACGTGTGGGGGATACAGCCCATTAGATAAACTTATGTTTTATCCACGGGTAGTTGCTTTATCAGTAGCACTTCCGGTTTTGACACGATCCCTCGCTTCAAGATTTTACTTTATTGAAACTTATTTGTGGAAATTATTGCCGTTATAAAATGAATAATAAAGAGCAATAATGTCGTTAAAAGCAAGAAAAAGACTCTTATTTGTCAAAGAAGTGTCTTATTAATCAAGGAACCTGTATTGACTACTTAAGGTCTTTCCACCCTTACAATTTTAATGGTTAAAAGTACAAAAATTAAATTTATTTTCATTTAATCAAGTTTTAATTTTATATATCAAATAAATTATTTCCAAAAATGTATAGGTCGCCATATTATTTAAGATGGTAGACGTAAATAAACAGAAGCATATGTCAACATAAAAAATCGTACATTTTTTTGTAAACAATATCATAAATATTATGTAAAAACTGAATCTACATCTACATCTACATATTACAGCGTTCCATCAAACCTGATGATTATACGCTGGCCCTGCGCAAACGGACCTCTAGATTTTAATTATAAAACGTATGTGAAAAAAAGAAAAAAAAACAACTAAGTGCCATAGAAGGTATAAATAAACCTAATGCAATGAAAAACAATTTACAAAGTTGTGCATGAAAAATGTGTATTTACATTGTGTTCTACTTGTTTTTATAAATATAAGAGTTATGGGATATAGCTTGGGACCAGAGTTCTGAACTGGTCCAGAGAGGCCGCTGCCACCACTGAGTGTGGGAGAGAATTCCACAAGGCTACTGTATGGGGAAAGAAGCTAAATTTATAATAATCTGTTCGTGTACTGAAGGTCTGAAAGTGAAGAGGACTACTATTACGTGTAATGGTCGTTGTCTGGGGTACTAAATAAAGGTTTTGATCTATAGCCACTAATTTGTGTGTAATTTCAAATAACATTATAAGTCTACATATATTTCTTCTATTGTCTAATGCTGGCCAATTTAGATGATGTTACATATCTGAGACACTGCTAGTATTGTGGTATCTATGTGTGACATATCTTGCAGCTCGTCTTTGAACATTTTCTAGTTTATCTTTAAGTTTTTTTGTATGAGGTGCCCAAACTGAAGAACAGTATTAGAGGTTAGACCTGACCATTGATTTATATGCCAAAGATTTTGTTTCTTCATTTTTTATCTGCAAATTTCTTTTTAGAAAACTCAGTATCTTATTGGCCTTAGAAGTTATATTATTAATATGCGGTTCCCAGGACATGTTGTAGGATAATGTTACCCCTAAATATTTTGCTGTCTTTATAGATTCTAATGTGTGTCCTTTCAGATTATAGGTATATTTTACTGGTGTGCGAGATCTGGTAATACTAAGTGAATTACATTTTTGAGGATGAAATTGCATTCCCCAGATATGTTCCCTATTAGCTAACGAGTCAAGATCTTTTTGAAGAATTACACAGTCATTTTGATTATGAATGGGTCGATACAAGATACAGTCATCGGCAAAGAGCCTTGTATTTGATGTAACAGAAGATGGTAGATCATTTATAAAAATTAAAAATAGAAGGGGCCCAAGGACTGACCCTTGAGGAACCCCGCTGACCACAGGCATTGGACTAGATACCTCACCATCAAGGACAACCTGTTGTACTCTTTTGCTGAGAAAAGCAGAGACCCACCTCCAGGTGTTACCACGTATTCCATAGTTATCCAACTTTCTCAGCAACTTCTGGTGAGGCACCTTATCGAATGCCTTTGAGAAGTCCAGTATAATCAAATCAGTTTGAGTGTTTGAGTGTAAATTTTCCAATAATTCATGGCTAAGAGTAAGTAGCTGAGTTTCGCAACTTCTCTTAGCTCTAAATCCATGTTGGCAATCTACTAAAATATCATATTGATCTAAATGGTTCAAAACGTTGCTGACAACTATATGTTCTAGAATTTTACAACAAATGCATGTTAATGAGACAGGTCTATAATTACTAGCCAAATATTTTCCCCCTATTTGAATATAGGAATCAAATACATAATTATGATGCTGAAAGTTCCTAAATACTTGCTACTTGAAAGATACTTTTCCAAAAGTGTTAGAGGCCATCTTTTTTCAATGCCAACACCAATTTTTTAAATTAACCTTTAGACTAGAATTTATGCCGCACATTTAACTTTTTTAAACTGCAAAATTGTATAAGTAAGGTATATTAAAATAAAATTATGCTTGATTCTGATTTAAAACAAAGTGTTTATAACTTGTAAGCAGTATCACTTCTCAATGGCACCTGATTCCACCTCTAACATATGAAGGTTCCGTTCTTTTCTCTGCTCTTAGTATATATTGTTTCACGGACTTCTAAGCTTGACTTCTGTTCATTAAATCTCCATATTCATTATATATTATATATATATATAGCTACCACCTCAACTTCAACCACTACCACTTCGACCACTCCCAGTTCAACAACTACCATTCTACCACCGGTGCAATTAAAATGTAGCAACCACAAAATCAGTATCATCGAATCCATTGCTGAAAATGTACATGTCGAGGATAACAGGGCAGCACTGTGTCCCAGCAATAGTAAACACCAATCATCTGACGCCTACGTCATCAACAAATGTAACTCTACAGAAAGGGCTTCCTGGATGCGGGGTCCGTCGGTGGGTAGTGCAAGGATGAATATTTAACATATATACTGAGGATCTAACCTGCGTTATTTCGGTTTCTATAATTTAACGGAATTTAAATTTGCATTTGCTCTTTTTCTTTCTTTCGCGAATATTTTTCGCCTTTCTCTTTATAATATTATTATTTTGTTTTCGTTTACAACGTTTCTTTAGCGAATTATTTTTGATAATGCTGTTAATCATTGAAAAAAATACTTTTTAGGCTTAATTAGATGCTACATTTTCAATCATACATTATATCGATGCGAATGATTATTCAGAATCAAATATTGAAAAAAATGTGCATATTTTTATTTCACAGGTGAAATCATCATGTAAATCAATTCTACCATACACACCTATATCTACTTTCTTTGACAATAAAATAAATATGGCGGGTTTTTTCATCGACTGCACTGACACAGGAACTGAATTAAAGGTATATATATGTAACCCAGTTATTACTAACAATATAGAGTTTTGTGTATCTTACTTTGAAAATTAATATTTGGCTTAACAATTGTTAAAGTCATTAAAATATCTAGCATTTTAAACAAAGATACAATTGTCATCAGAAGTTTACTCTATTTTATCAAAGTTTCAAAATTGCAACATTATTGTAAATAAAATAAATTGTCAAACATTTTGCTACATGCAGAGAAAATGCGTTACTTTCATTTCTCTATGGTAATTCCTTCAGGAAGTTTCATTCAGAATTAAAAAGGCATTTTTGTTATTTAAGAACTTGCACCATTGTTGCAGTGTTTTCATAAAATCCTCTTTATAAGCGTTCCATTTTAGATTTATATATATCAATTTATTTACCATTTGGAAATCAATACCGGTATATATTTTATTTTTACTTGTAAACTGTTGCAAAACACAAGTTTGCATAAGCATTCAATAGTAAATGTCCATATACGAGAGTTGTTCGAAAAGTTCGCGGACAACTGTCATATCTTTTTTATTTGACGTCATATGTTATCCAAATTTGGTAGAAATATTTTTACAATAAATCCAAATGATCATGATTTTATGGATTTGTAGTTATTTTTTTCCAAGATAAATATGTTGACATGCAAGATAGTTATGTCAACATGCAACATAAATATGTTGACATGCAAGAAAATTGCAATCAAATAAGTATTATGAAAAAATCTTCAAAAATCTCAAAATGCCCACATGTGACATCCAAATTCTAAATGCTACTTATTTATGTTAACATGCAAGATAAATATGTTGACATGCAACTTATTTATGTCGACATGCAACTTATTTATGTTGACATGCAACTTATTTATGTCGACATGCAACTTATATATGTTAACATGCAACTTATTTATGTCGACATGCAACTTATTTATGTCGACATGCAACTTGGTTATGTTGACATGCGAGATAAATATGTTGACATGCAACTTATAAGTTGCATGTCGACATAAATATGTCGCATGTTTACATAAATAAGTTGCATGTCAACATATTTATCTTGCATGGCAACATAACTAAGTTGCATGCCAACATAAATATGTCACATGTTTACATAAATAAGTTGCATGTCGACATAAACAAGTTGCATGTCGACATAAATAAGTTGCATGTCAACATAAATAAGTTGCATGTCGACATAAATAAGTTGCATGTCAACATAAATAAGTTGCATGTTAACATAAATAAGTAGCATTTAGCATGTTGGATGTCACATGTGGGCGATATTTGAGATTTTTGAAGATTTTTTTAATAATACTTATTTGATTGCAATTTCTTGCATGTCAACATATTTATGTTGCATGTTGACATAACTACCTTGCATGTCAACATATTTATCTTGCATGTCGACATATTTGATAGAAAAATAACTTGCACACAAGGGGCAGAAATATGCCACCATATGATTTGTATTATTTTTTTCCAAAATATTACGATTCATTCAAAACTTATCTAGATTTTAAAAATGCAAAAATCGGATCGCGGAGCAGGTCAAAATTCAGTATGTTACAGACGATACACTGTATAATGTTTGTAGTCGTATTCTCTAAAATGGAGCAAAAACGAAGAACAACAAAACGATAACGTTTTAGAACGTCACGGACAGCAGATAACGATGCAATTTGGTGTTTTTCTCAGGAAAATCCCTGAATGAACTCTGAAAATTTTGAAGGAATCAAGAAAAAATGTCACGAGCGAGTTGTGCATATGTGTATAAACAGTACAAGCATTATATCAGTGGCATAGACTCTGTATCGAATGAGAATAATCGGTGAAGCTACGATTTAAGGATTTCAATCCCTAATGGTACCAAATTCTCTACCCTTAAATGTCCGTCAAGTACACAATACTCTGATATTATATTAAAGCATTTTATAGTGGAAAAGGATTGTCCACGAGACATTTTCAAAATGTTCATTAATTAAGCAGTAGATAATTTACAAAGATTGCATTGAAGTCTATGGGGAAAAGCGTTTTTTCAAAATAAAATTTCAAATAATTTGAATATCAATAAATCCTGTGGTGGAAAGATGCATTGAAATATTATAAATAGAATGATAATTGAAAACAATTTTTTTACCAGACAAATTTTTTTTAATTGATTTTTTTTTATTAATTAAAAAAGGGGAGAAAACTCTTACCAAAATTCAAGGTCATGAATTAGGACACATCCCACTAAACATACTTATAGTAATAAATGGGAAGCATGTCTAAATAAACTGAGTATACAATGCCTACATATCTGTTATGTCTTCAATTTCATTGAATTTCTTCCTATTAGGGATTGAAGACCTTAACTGTAAAAATCTGAACAAAAACTCTCAAAAGTTGGAACGTCAAGGAAAGACATGGGCGCTTTAGAGTTGCGTATCCTGTGAAACTAGAGTTAAGTGTGCTCCGTGGGTACAAAACGTTGATTTTAAAATGAAGTAAATTGATTTCTGTTAAATTGAATGGTATGAAACTTCACACATCAACAAAACAAATATTTTTACATATTATATTGTGCTTAGTTTAAATTTCTAGTGAGTAATATAACGAAGATTGACATCGCCCACGAACTTTTCGAACAACCCTAGGCCTCGTATATACATTAAACTCTGATAATACTGCAAATGACAAGATGACAAGTCAGACTTTAAGTCTTTTACCCTTTTATCGCATATCATAATGAGTAATTTAAGAATACGAGGTGGCATTAAATCATGTCTCATACAGCATGTTTTTATTAATATATGATGATAATTTTATTTCTTTCTGTACACTAGATCGCAGCCCAGACCTGTAGCGATGCCCCAATGATCTGGACGCTGGATGAAACGACCACTCCTACCATGTCAGATTTTTACACCATTAACCAACATGCGTAGCGATTTTGAATTTACAAATTTTACAAATTTTAATAAATATTTAATTGGAAAATGTTTGATTTTTTTTATGAAAAATATTCTGTAAAGATTTTCTGGTTGAAATGGTTCTCATTAGGAACAAGACAAGATCATGTTCGTTGTAACCTTAAATGTTAGGAAAATGCCATTTAAACTTACGTGTTAAGAGTAATGAAAACGAAAAAAAAAACATTTTTTGCAAAGGTATTCCAGCTTCTTGCAAGTTCTATTTTCCATTATTAGGGACAAATTATGAAAAGATATTACATGTAAAATTGCAATTTGGAGACGGGAAGCAGTTTATTTAGCAGTTTATTAATAAGCCATTTATTAAGTATACGCAAGCAGTGTTTTTTCTGTTGATTATTTACACTGTTATTTATATGATTTATAGTTAAATTTTGTAAGGTATAAATGGAAGTCGAGCCTTTTTGACATAATAGCTGTAAGCAGGCGCGGATCCAGAAATTTTTCCCAGGGTGGGGTCCACCCCTGTCAAAAAAAAAATTTCAACCCAGAAATTTCTTAACAAGCAAAAAAAAAAAAAAACGTAAAGTCGCCAAAAGTTCAAATCCTATTTGGGGGGGGGGGGGGGGGGGGGAGGGGGTGTGGGCGATGACTTTTTAATGCTTCAAAATCTTTAACTTTTCAGACCACTTTAATACAAATTCACATTTACCAGGGGGGTCTGCGTTTCCTGAGGGGGGTCCAAGTTAACTTTTTCCTTGCTTATGTATATAAATTTAATAACCTTGAAATTCCAGGGGGGTCCTGACCCCCCCCGACCCCCCCCCCCCCCCCTCTGGATCCGCGCATGTGTAAACTGTTTTCTTTTTCAATGGAACCTAGTAAGGTTTTCAAAAAAATTGATAGTGCATTGCCTTTGGTAATCTGCAAATTTATTTGGTTTTAAAAAGATTCTCATTGTACACTTATGCAATCTGAAGTATAAAAAATATGTAGCTTTATTTTAATTGAAAATAAAGCCAATTTGAATTCTTGTGGGAACAAATTCTAAAGTCCGAGAAAATTTCGACGGCTTTAGAATATCAAATAAACGATTTAAATTTGATAGATTTGGAGTAATCCTGTGACTGAAGGGAGAAAGATTATTTTAATTATCAGTCAAGAATTCATAAACTCTAACAGAAAGATATCAATTTAAAGATGAGAGGAATAAATCTTAAATGTTTATTAAGTGAGGTAATCATATTACAAATTATTAAAAAAATGTCTTCCATAAAAAAAAAACAACAAAATGAAGAGGTAAAATCTACGATAAAATATGTTTTGGAGTACATATAAATTTTAAAAGTTGTATATCCCATAAGTACCATTAAATCCTAAGTACCATTAAATCGGCTTTTTAATTTTGGATACAAACTATAGAGCCAGTTTTCATAAGGGAAGGGCATACTTTTCCTTACAAATAAGTTCTTTTACTAGATAAAGACGTTAATGGTTATCTAACAACAAAACTTATGATAAATTTGATGACTTTAAAAGTCATTTTGTAAGTTCTAAAATCGATACAATGACCTTGTCAGCAAATACAATTTATCATTAAATAAGTCAAATGCTGACTGACTTTTTTTCCATACTTATAGTTAACCCCTTTGGTCTATTTACACACTGAATTTTCCAAGGTTTTTTCCCATTTATTTCCCGATCATGACAAGGAGCACACGGCTGGTGTGATTGGTCGGCAGGGGATGCTCACTCCTCCATGGGACCTGATCCCACCTCTGATGTTTTGGAGGTCCGTGTTTGCTCCTCTCCTATTTTGTGATGTTTAATGGACTTTTGAGCTTGATTATACTGTTTATCATCTCTCCACCTATTTCATTCATGTATATTAATTTTGTGATTTGCTTTAGTAAAAGCTAATAACAACAATAATTCTCTTAATTTGGTCAGATAAGAATAAGTTATCGAATACTAAAAATAGCTCCAATCCGTGTGTCCAAATTTTTACCTTGGTCGCAACATTGACCTGGAAGATTTGACAGATTTTAAATACATTTATCCGGCAATAGTATAAGATTTACAATACTTTCTTTTTATAAAATTAATATTTCTTAATATCACCAATACACATATTTGAAGATATTTATACAGAATATATTTATGGTGAGAATAACATTACCATTACATTTATTTCTCGAACAGTGTTGATAACACAATACTGGTATTCCATATCGTGACCTTAACTCTTTATACAAAAGTCTCAAGTAATCTAATATACAACATAACCACGAGGATAAGAAACTTGTCTAAGAATACCAGAATGAGGATGATACTTTTTAACCTTTTCTTTCTTTTTTTCAGTACATTTGCAGGTACAGTTTTAATCTAGTTTCTAATTTAGTTTTAGTTTTATCCTTTTTCAATTCATGCTATGTACATGTAAGAAAGTTGCTTGTCAAGAAAAAATTACAGTAAAACTAGTGAATAATATACGTATATAGAACGGATCAATTTATATAATGCAAAAGTAAAGAATCAGCTTGAAGTCAATTAGATGTTTTTAAACATTCTATAATATTAAAAGTTTAATTACTGAGTTGTGATTGATTTTTTAATGGTAGGTTAATTGTTCTCTACTTTTGTGCTAGTATTTTAATCACATTATTATTAATAAGACAAAAGGTATCCATGCATGATCTTAATGTAAGGTTCTTTCTAAAATGTCAAAGTCAAGACGAAACATTAAATATGTTGTCATCTGGATTTCTTCGAACTCTATTGTCCTGGGAAGTTTTTTGTTGTCTTCCATTCGTTTATCCGAAACGTCGTTATAAACATTTACCAGGTATGTACATGTATATATCTGTAAAATCGTCATCTGTATTAAATTTTCTCTCTTCCTAGGCAAAGGACTTGCAATAATACTTTTGCTACAAGTTCTGTTTCAGACAGTGTACTTAAATATTTGGTTATAAGTTATCCTGACTAAAATTTACCCCAGTGGCAATGTTCTCTAGCAAGCGACACAACGTAATACATGAATTATACTTATTTGCTATCTTTGACCTGACTAAGTTATTCCTATACATGGAGAAATCTAAATTGAGAAAGGCGTGTGTATTATTAACATAAAATATTTTTATGATTGTGTTTTAATATATTAGGATAAAAGTAATGATCAACAAGCTAGATAAAAATTATCTAATCTTTTTTTGAAATGTCAGAAACTTAATTTCCCTTCGAATTGCATGAATTTGGTGAGTATTTTATATGCATTTGTTCGCTATATTTTTATTCAAAAAATATGCCAACAATAGGGACAGGGCTTGCAGAATGCTTTAAAATCTCTTGAGCCGATTGATAATTCTTATAGAATTGTATTTTGTCGGTGTTTATTTTTGCTGACTTGCAATTATTTGCTTATTCATTGTTTGTAATTTTTGAGCAATAACAAAGTTTTTGTAAGCTTTTCAACATATTTTTGCTTATTTGTAAAGAAAGTCTTTTACACTCTGTAACTTGGAATTTATAGTTCACTAATTATATCCAAGTTTCCAAGCTTTCTACATCTATTATCATCCAAGTTTTTTTTTTATCATGAAGCGAGTGTACCTGCATCTATATTTTGCATATCATTTACATAATGCACACTCAGTTTCACTGATTTTGAATTACAATGGAAAAACTCAGAAGTAATATATTGCTTCCTAAGTAATGGAAGTTGACGACTGTAAAGTTAAAGTCATCACATTTATCATAGAGCTTGGTTGTTAACGTATTTGCACTTAAAATATCCAAGTATGAAACAGATGTGTCAGACTCTGTGGTATCTTTTATCTCAAGCTCACATGGATATATCGTATCGACATAAGAATGGAAGTTACCATTGCTAATTGACAATACGTCGTCAATACGTCTAAATGTGGAGTTGAAGGCCACAGGTAGTGTTTTCTTCTTTTCAGGCATAAGATTGTGCACAAATCTGCCTCATATGAATACATAAATAGATCGGTTAATAACGAGGCGCAATTAGTACCCATGGGAATTCCAATATATTGTCGGAAGACCTGGTCTCCAAAAACCACAGATATTGTCTATCAGAAACTCAAGCATCTTTTTTATGACAACTTCAGAGTACTTGTGTGTATAACTGTTTTTAACAAAATAATTTTGCAAATGATGAGGTAAGTAAATTTACAAGTTCCATTTTTAGGACACCTGAGTAACTCAGGTGACCTATTGCTACCCGTTTTCGTCTGTCGTCGTGTATCGTGCGTCGTGTGTTAACATTTGAACATTTTCAGCTTCTTCTCTGAAACCACTAAACCAATTTCAACCAAATTTGGTATACAGCATTTATGGGTGAAGGGGAACAAAAATTATGAATTTTATCGTCCCCGCCCCCCTTAGGCCTGAGGGGTGGGGCCAAAACCACTAAAATTATTGCAATCTTTAAAAATCTTCTTCTTTAGTCCTGGACATCAAGCAGGCAAACTGTTGGCATGAATGTAATGAGCATTGAGTCCTCTACCAAAATTGTGAAATTCATGGCCCCAGGGTCAGGGGTTCTAGTGCTAGGGCGGGGCTATATAGAGTATATAGTGAAAATGCATTATTTCTTTGAAAATCTTCTTCTCTGCTCCTAGGTATTAAGTAAACTAACTAAGTACATAGTAATATTGAGCAAGAGTGCCTCTTACAGAATTGTGAATTTTATGGCCCCAGGGTAAGGGGTTCTGGTGTTAGGGCGGGGCTCTATTGATTATATAGTGAAAATGCATTTATTCTTTGAAAATCTTCTTCTCTGCTTCTGGGTAGTAAATAAACTAACTAAGTACATAGTTATGATGAGCAAGAGTGCCTCTTCCAAAATAGTGAATTTAATGACTCCAGGATCAGGGGTTCCGATGTTAGGGTGGGCTCTATTGATTATATAGTGAAAATACATTAATTCTTTGAAAATCAATTTCTTTGCTCCTAGGTTTTATGCCAATGATCCAAGTATATATATTTATGATGAAGAAAAGTGCATCTAGCAAAATAGTTATTTTTTATGCCCCCCATGGGTCGGGGGGGGGGTTTACATAGTCTGAATATAAATTAATGCTTTGAAATCTGCTCTTTGGTATTAATCAACCATTTTATGATAAAATTTGCAAAATTTTGAAATAATTGTCCCCAGGATCAGTGGTTCTTTGGGATGAGGTGCACAACTGGTGATAAAGTGGAAGTGCATTTTCTCTTTGTTACTCTGATCTACCTCTGGGTATTAAGTAAATAGAGTAAGCATCCTAAGTTTATAATTATGATTAGCAATAGTGCCTCTTCCAAAATTATGAATTGTGAATTTCATGGCCTCTGGTTTAAAACACTAACCAAATTTAATTGTTTGAAAGTTGTTACCAATACCCAGGTGACCTATAAGGCCCCTTGGCTTCTTGTTTTTATTGAAATAGCAGCTGTCAATGATATAAAAAAGCCTAGACTTTAAATTATCGTGTGGAATGGTTGTGTATAAAGTCGTAAATTTTCAAGCTATTGATTTTGGTAAAACCTTATGATTTCAAATTGTCAAAAAGTTCTTTGGAATAACTGCAATTTTACTAACCTGTATAACTATTTACATTTTCCTCTTAAGCAAGTTTGTTTTGCTATCTGTATTAAAACATAAATATTTTTGCTCAGTTGTTTGTAAACATGAAAAACTTTTTTGTTCAGTTACGTACATGTGAACGTCATGACTACTTTTTGTCCAGTTGCCTGTTAACATGATTTTATTCTTTGTCCAGTTGCCTGTGGACATGGTTTAAATTTTTGTTCAGTGGCCTTTTAACCTGATTTTAATATTTGTTCATTTGCCTGTTAACATGATTTTAAATTTTTGTTCATTTGCCTGTTAACATGATTTTATTTTTTGTCCAGTTGCCTGTGGACATGATTTAGATTTTTGTTCAGTGGCCTTTTAACATGATTTTAATTTTTGTTCATTTGCCTGTTAACATAATTTTAATTTTTTATTCAGTTGCTTGTAGACATAACAGTGAGTGTATTAGTTGGTGTCACAACGACCAAGCAGAATGTTCTCATGGCCATTGTAGTAATTGTCATGGTAATGTGTTATAAATTTATACGAAATGTAATTATATTATGTGGCTTCTTTTTCTAAGTATAATTTGATGATTAAAGGACAAAAATTATGGGTTAACGATACTCGTTTTTCATTCTAAGCTGTTAATAAAAATAAGACTTAATTAATTGATATGTTTTCGCTCTAAAATTGAGGAATTCGGAGAATTTTAACCTACATGTAAAGACCACGTACACATACAATGTCCAATTTTATTTCAGAAAAATAAGCTTCTTATAAATGGAACCATTAGTATTTGATTACATAAATTATGATTTGTTCAAATAAATCCACAGAAAACTACATAAAATATATTAGAATGTATAAATGTCACTTAGAATTTGTTCGAATGTACTGTAGATCACTAAATTTTCGCGACACCTTATTTTTGCGAGATAGTCATTGACTCTTGATTAGCGAGACAAAATTTTCGCGAATTGAGGTTTTTGCTCTATATAATCTAAAGGAATACTAATATACACGAGAATTAAATTTTCGTGAGCTTTTTGTTTCGCGTAATTACGCCAAAATAAAGTTCTCGCGAATAAAAAGTGATTTACAGTATTCGATATTTGTTTCAGGTGGTTCACAGTCTGAGTGCTCAACTGACGACGATTGTAAAAGCCACTGCAGCGACGGAAAACATCCATACTGTTCACACTTTTTTGGAACTCGTTGCCAATGTTTTGGTAAGGTACATGTTTATACGGTCCTGCTTTTATCAAGCTCTTTTTAGCAAAATAACCCTGATTTGATTTTAGACCAACAATTGATTTAAAAATTATTCAGATACGTAGGCTGATAAACTTTTGTTATTTATTTTGTGATGGGTATCTAATAATATATCAATTTAAAGTGAAGGGTTTTATGCCTGTAACAAAAAATTTTTATATTTTACATTTCCATTAGTTTATTTGTGGAAAATAAAATAAAAGCCAAATCTATTATCTTTACTACAGACTGCACAGATGATAGTCACTGCAGCTGCCCACCTGGACAGATAGGAAAATGTCATAAAGAGGTGACATACGTCAATTTCCATATCACTAGTCACATCTGCGAATGTCAGGGTAGGTACACGTCAGTAGTCATTTCTGTCAATGTCAGGGTAGGTACATGTCAGTAGTCACTTCTGTCAATGTCGGTGTAGGTACCTGTCACTAGTGTCACTTCAGTCAGTCAGCGTAAGAACATGTCACTAGTCAATTCTGTCAATGTCAGCGTAAGAACATGTCACTAGTCACTTCTGTCAATGTCAGGGTAGGTACATGTCACTAGTCACCTCTGTCAATGTCAGGGTAGGTACATGTCACTAGTCACCTCTGTCAATGTCAATGTCAGCAGTCACTTTTGCCTATATACCATGGAAGGTACATTTTAGTAGTCACTCGAATGATCAGTCAATAACAGGGTAGGTACATGTCAGTAGTTACTTATGTCAATGCCATGGTAGATACACGTCAATAGTAACTTTTACCAGTGTCAGGGCGCATGTGTGCATGTCACTTAAGTCATTTTAGGGTTGTTACATATCATTTGTCACTTTTATCAATATCATGCGAGAGAAAGGTTCATGGAAGGGAGTTACCGCCAAAAGTCTATGTATCTTGCAATTCCTTTTATTCTTATCTTGTCTACATCTTTATTCGTTGTTATTTTTGTAACTATATGTCACTTTATTGTTTTCATATTCGCCTTTATTTCACACTTTGAACTTTTTTATTCTTCATATTGTCCCACTGCTATGCTGCTTCAAACTTGTAAATTCGTTTTTCTTTCTTTTAAATTGTTAAAGTTTAAGGCAGAAAATTGAAAAATTTCGAATAACCCGGCCCGGGTTTGCCTACCTAATTTTTCCAACAATATAAAATTCATCTTTGATTTTTGTAATATTGCTCAAAGAATTTGTAAACTACCTCCAAAATATAAACAGGTCAAACTATCACTTCCGCACCGACAACAACTGCTTTACCATCTGCACCACTGGCTTGTAAGGACATAAAAATCAGTGTTATAGAATCCATCGCAGAAAATATTCACGTGGAGGACAGCAGAGCATCACTGTGCTCCGGAAGTAATAAACACCAATCTTCTGAAGCTTACGTCATCCACAAATGTAACGCCACTGAAAGGACTTCCTGGATGAAGGGTCTGTCGGTAGGAAATATACATATCATAATGATAAAATTATTTTTAATCTAATCTTCATCATGCATGTAGGTGTTCTCATATTACTTGTAAGGTTCATTTCATAATTGAGAAATTTAACACCAGGTGAAATCTGACTGTTTGACCATTCCTGCCTACACACCTATTTCGACATTTTCCGGCCAAAACGATATGTCAGGCTTTTTTGTCCAGTGCACTGACTCTGGTCATGGATTAAAGGTACGTGATGTCATTAATCTACTGACTTAAGGTATACATTTACTCAGATGACTAAAAATTCCACTGATAAGAACGAAAAACCATCTATTGTACATTATACACCTATGATTCTTGTGTTAAATTTCAATTTCAAATAACTAGGTCAATGACCTCGTTTTCATGGTAGTGGACCCTGAGTATTTTTCGGGAAATACCTCAATTTTTCACACTGTAACCATTGTTTTCTTCACTCACAAAATATTACAAGCAAAAAAACTCTTTAAATAATGAAATATTATAGCAATGGAACAGAGTTGCTCTATATAAAGAAATGAGTAGAGTTTGGGCCATAAACGTGATAATTATTACAGTCCGAATTTCCTCTGTCATTTTTATATTTTTTTCCTATTTTTAATCAAATATTACAAAAATCTGACTGATAAGAACTCTAAATGATTTATACCCTGCGGTTACTTGTGTTGCCCTTATTCTCATGGTATTAACATTATATGGGGTCAATGATCAAATTATTGAGAAATGTTGTCTGGAGTGGTTTTTGTACATATTTTTGAGTTTCTTTATTTCATAGCATTCATTTATTTGAAATAATTCATGAGCTTAAACACATATAATATTTGCAAAATGATGTCTTAAAAAACATAATATTATAACCTTTACTTTGTGATTAATATTGCAAGAAATAAAAATTTTGACAAAAATTAAAAAATTAAAAATTTAGTCCGAATTTCCTCTGTGTAGCCATTCATTGAGTTTTGTTCCTGTATATTTTCTTCAAGTACTAACATATTAAATTTTTAAATTGATATTGAGATAAAACTTAGTTATTTTATCCATTTAGAACAATTTTTGATTTAAAATATTATATTTTATAAAATTTCTTTTCTGATTTCTGAAACCTGAGTAAACGTCATCCTTAAACCTGTTTTAACACCTTACCAAAATCAGGCCAAAGGATCATGATCGAGACAGACTTAGACTTAAGTGAAACCTTCAGTCACCTGTAAAATGTTTACTTACTGAGCAAGCCTCTAAATTTACAGATCCACATAAACTTTTTAAATTCAACAAATTTTTAACCAAAAGAAAGACTTTGACTTAAACTTGAGATGTTTCATGATCTGGAGCCTTGACTATAAGAGGAAGTAACACAGTTTTCTAGCACAAAGCCTTATTTTTCATATAACAATCACTGGTAAATGATTACCATTAATTAAAATGATAATGATAAAACACTACATATTTCTCCCTATTTGTCGAAACATTCAAAGCAGGATCTCTACACTTTGCTTGAAAAGTCAATCAAGGGCTTAGTTTCTGTATATAAAATTACATTTAGTAAAGAATAAGTTTACAATTTCGAGAATTTCTGTGCTCTATATTCATTCTAGGTAAAAAGTTGAAGTCTAGTCGTGTTGATGTCCATTTATTGATTTAGAACAATGTACTGCTGATAATTATTGAACCCATCTTGATAGAATTAAATTATTATTCTACCCGTATATTTTAAAATAAATTTTATATTTTACAAACTATTTGTTTCAGATTGCAGCCCAGACATGCTCTCATACCCCCATGATCCTTACATTGAATGATACCACTACACCCAGGATGTCCGATTTCTTCACCATTTTGCAACATCTGTAACATCATTGTAATTGTGAAATTATGCAAAATAAAATAAACCAGAAGTCTCTGTCGAGACTGAAGCTCTACTGGTTTGTACTTATAGCAAAGGAAGAGGAAAGTACTTAAAATATGAAAATTTGCACAGGCAAAAAAGAGAATAATGATCCTTGAATAAGTCTCTTTAAAGTCTACTTGCAAGCCACATTATATTATAGTCAGACTAAAACTGTATTTGAAGTAGCAAATGAGAGTAACAGAAATTGCTATCTTTATTAACCAAGGTAATAATGTTCATTGGAGTCAAAAACGGATATAAAGAAATGTACCTTAGTGTAGTCTACTTGAGTGCCAAGTTATATTGAAATCATACCAAAACTGTAGGAGGAATAGCATTTTGAAAGAATTTCACAGAAATATTTTTGGTAACAACGCCAACACCGTTCGTCGAAATCAAAAACCGATACACAGAATTATGTATCTTAGTGTAGTCTACTTGTGTGCCAAGTTATATTGAAATCAGACCAAATTTGTACGAGGAGTAGCATTTTGAAAGAATTTCACAGAAATTTCTATTTTTAGTAACAATGCCAACACCGTTCGTTGAAATCAAAAACCGATATACAGAATTATATACTGTAGTCTACTTGTGTGCCAAGTTATATTGAAGTCAGACCAAAACTGTAGGAGGAGTAGCATTTTGAAAGAATTTCACAGAAATTTCTATTTTTAGTAACCACGGCAACACCGTTCATCGAAATCAAAAACCGATGCACAGAATTATGTAACTTAGTGTAGTCTATTTGTTTGCCAAGTTATATTAAATCATACCAAATTTGTGAGGATAGCATTTTGAAAGAATTTCACAGAAATTTCTATTTTTAGTAACAACGCCAACATCGTTCGTTGAAATCAAAAACCGATACACAGAATTATGTATCTTAGTGTAGTCTACTTGTGTGCCAAGTTATATTGATGTCAGACCAAAACTGTAGGAGGAGTAGCATTTTGAAAGAATTTCACAGAAATTTCTATTTTTAGTAACAACGCCAACACCGTTCGTCGAAATCAAAAACCGATACACAGAATTATGTATCTTAGTGTAGTCTACTTATATGCCAAGTTATATTGAAATCAGATCAAAACTGTAGGAGGAGTAGCATTTTGAAAAATTGTTTACAGACAGACAGACAGACAGACGGACAGACGGACGGACGCCGGACGCATTACTATGCTCTTTCCTACCAGTAGACTAAAAAAGTATCATAGAAATATATAAAAACCCGAAGCAAAGTCATGAGAATGCGTTACTGTTACCAGGAAAAATACTTTGACTTGACTGTTCAATATATATTTATTTTCCATGATTGTTTTGTATTGTACATTAAGAAATTTAAAGTCGTGAATAATTTTTTTATTGGTACATCATTTACATATAATATATAATGATTGATGAACATAGAAGAAAAGCGAATGCAACAAATTTCATGTTTTCCCACAAAGATCAATAAAAACCCGCCATATCACCAGAAAACGCGATCCAATGGTTCAAATTTTCAAAAATGTGGTTAAAAAAACTCTTGTTTATTACAACTTCATAACTATCTGCAAAAATAGAAGCTCAGAAGCAGAGAAGACTTTCGGACAATTTAAGAAAACTAATCGATCCCCACCCAAATAACAGAGCCCCTGACTCTGGAGCCATGCTAATCACAGTTTTTGGAGATTCAATATTGGTCATAAGATCAAAACAACACACTATGTATGCTTGATTAATGCACATGGACAAAGACGAAAATTTAAAGAATAATGCATTTTCATTTATTAATATGACAAGCCCTGCCTAAGAAGAATAATTAATCCTTGGCACAGGGGCTATGAATTTCAAATTTTTAAGAAGAATCCTTGCTTATCTTAACAATGCACTGTGTGTATCTGTTCAGGAATAAAAAGGAGAATTTCATCAAATAATCAATCAATTCAACCTTTCCCTAATACAAAAAGTATTGGCTTAGGAGCATTTAAATTCAAAGTTAGGCTTTTGATATGATGAGGTGCATGTCATATAAATTATTCATTTAAAGTTACGTTCCCATGATAATGATTGAAGTCTATGACAAAGACGTTATTATACCACACGCAACAAATTGCGTGAGGTATAATGTTTTTGACCTGTCCGTCAGTCAGTCAGTCACAGTGTCAGTCAGTCCTGTTTTTTTCAGCACAACTTCTCATAAACTGCTGCAAAGTATTTCGTCAAACTTTGCAGATATTTAGGACACAATGTGTAGATGTGCATATTACCAAGAAAATTCCAATTCCTTTATTTTTTCCGGGAATTTCTGCACTTTTTAACTTAGATCTTTGGCCATACCTTGAATATAGAGATGAACAGTTTGTCAGCGCAACTCCTCTTAAATCACTGCACAGAATTTCGTCAAACTTTGTAGATGTTTAGGACACAATATTTAGATGTGAATATTACCAAGAAATTCTGATTCCTTTATTTTTTCCGGGAATTTCCACACTTTTCAATTAGATTTTTTTGGCCATACCTTGAATACAGAGATGAACAGTTTGTCAGGAACGCTCTTTTCAAGCCGCTTCACAGAATTTCGTCAAACTTTGCAGGTATTTAGGACACAATGTGTAGTTGTGCAGCATATTACCAGGAAGTTCCGATTCCGTTTTTTTTTCCGGGAATTTCCGCACTTTTTAACTTAGGCATTTGGCCATACCTTGAATATAGAGATGAACAGTTTGTCAGCGCAACTCCTCATAAACCGCTGCACAGAATTTCGTCAAACTTTGCAGGTATTTAGGACACAATGTGTAGACGTGCATATTACCAGGAAATTCCGATTCCATTATTTTTTCCGGGAATTTCCGCACTTTTTAACTTAGGCATTTGGCCATACCTTGAATATAGAGATGAACAGTTTGTCAGCGCAATTTCTCTTAAACCGCTGCACAAAATTTTGTCAAACTTTGCAGATATTTAGGACACAATGTGTAGATGTGCTTATTACTGGGAAATTCCGATTCCTGACATTTTTTTCGGATTTTCAGCACTTTGAGTTTTGAGGGAGCGTGGGGTATGTGAGCTTGTTCACTTTTTCATTAATTTTTAAGAAATCTAGACTACACAGACCAGTAGGGAACTATTTATCTCAGAATGTTTGTTGTATTTGGTCTGAATAAGTCTTATTTATAGGAATTCTCTGTATTTGGAACCACAGCGCGATAAGATTTCTTGACCATGACATACCTATTGACACTTAGGCGTTAGAAAAAGACAGAGAAGTGTGACACAATTTACTAGAATGAGGATTATAGTAATTTTACTGAATGTTACTCTCTTCAGCCAGTTTGCAGGTGCAGTATCATTTTAAATATTTCAATATTAATAGTATTTAATAATATTAATTGATTTCAATATCTATCGTTTTTTTAAATATAATATATTATATAAAGTTTTATTACCATTGACGTCAATTGTCGAAATGAAAAACTAATGTGTTTTGTTTCAATGCAAATTTTGACCTTTACGAGAACCTTAATATTTATAAAAAAAATCTCTCTTTGTCTCTTCCTCTCTCTCTCTCTCTCTCTCTCTCTTTCACACACATTTTTATAATAAATAACATTTTAAACCAAATAATTCATTTTAGCTCACCCAAGCCAAAGGCTCAAGTGAGCTTTTCGTATCGAAAAGGTTCCGGCATCCGTCTGTCGTCTGTAAATTTTTCTTATTTTCGACTTCTCAAGAATCACTGGGTAAAAATCAATCAAACTTGCCACAAAAAATTGGTTGAAGGGGCTTGAAATCTGTTCACAAGTACATTGTAGTGCAACACTCTCTTTCAAGGGAAATAATAAAGAATTCTTTAAAAATGTATCTTTTAAAATTTTTTTTTCATAAAGCACTGGGCTAGAGAAGAAGAAACGTATGTGAAATTTTCATACTACATACTGCTGTATTCAAGTTTGTTCACATATTGTTCATACATGTGCCATCGGGGGTAGTATTTGGGCAACAAGAGAGAGTCGAAGTTTTATACAGGATTACATGTATATAGGAATTAAATGTCTTTAAAAAATTTTTCTCGAACAACAGAGCCATGATTAGTCATGTAATAATAGAAGTATCCTTAGGTTATGTAGATTCAATTTTTTTTTCCAGTCATGACCCCTGGGAGTAGGACAGGGCCACAACAGGGGAAGGGGGTCAAAATTAATTATCGGAATATATAGAAAATATCTTTTAAATCTTATTTTCAACAACAGCTTAAGCTGTTTTAGTCATATTATTATAGAAGTATCCTCGGGTTGTGTAGATTCAAGTTTTATCAAATCATGACCCTAGGGTGGGTTATTCTGTTTGTATGGAATATTTTCTTTTACGGGCAATCTAATGAGATATCTGGGAAAAAAACTGGAAAACTTTTGCAATGAAAATCAATACTATCGGTACTTTTCCTCTGGCCTCATGATTTTTTTTATTTTAGGTCAATAGGTCAGAGTCGGATATTTATACATTGCAAAAAGGGTTCCTTGTTGACAGTTTTAATTTTTTTTTCTTAAGACATTAAAGAGAACTAAAAACAACTTAAATTTTTATATTATGACTTTTAAGTATATTGCTATTGGTTTTGGGTCAAAGGAGTATGGCATATCTTTTAAATCTCTTGAGTGAAACATATGGAGAACAGTATTCAAGATCAAAAATCCATAAAACAATACAAAATAGGAGCAGAGCAAACACGGACTTCCAAAACATCAGAGATGGTATCAGGTGCCGCCCGGTCTCACCAGCCGTGTGCTCCTTGTCATGATCGGGTAAACAACGGAAAAACCGTCGTCAATTCAGTGTATAAAAAAACTAACAGTATGTCAGTCAGCAAAAATCCATAAAACAATAATGTATATAAAACTAACAATAGCAAAAATCCATAAAACAATAATGTATATAAAACTAACAATATGTCAGTCAGCAAAAATCCATAAAACAATAATGTATATAAAACTAACAATATGTCAGTCAGCAAAAATCCATAAAACAATAATGTATATAAAACTAACAATATATCAGTCAGCATTTGACTCAATGATAAATTGCATTTGTTGACAAGGTCATTGTATGGACCATAGAACATACGAAATTGTTAGAAATTGTTCATACGTAGAGCATGCTCTTGGGTATCGAATCAACTGAGATACATAAACCCCGTATGCAGATGGTAAAGGTACATTGCTGCACAAGCAAGGGAAGCTGATGATTGAAAGCCAATGTCATCACGCCCACCACTAGAGCTTGGCCGCAAGATCACCAATTACGTCTAAGTCTTGAGCCCTGTTTAAGATGCATTCTATTTTGTCGTATATTATGCTTATTAAATCTTTGTTTCAGTAGAAAAATTAAACATTATATATTTACTAAAAACATTGCTGACGTAAAGATATTTAAATTGTAAACAATGTTAATGAGTTATAAAATATTTAATAATAATATATTTAAGTTTCTTTTAGTTGCGTGTTGGCATGACAACGAATGCAGCCCTTGGTGCAAACATGAACAACACCCAAAGTGCTTCTACGGATTTTGTCAATGCCATGGTAACTTATTTATGTATATTTTATTCGATATTCAAATAAATATCGATTATATGCAATCGAATCGTATCTTGTCAACACATGCAATAGTAGTTTTAAAGAACATACAACATGTATCAACTTGGCAACAAGTAACCACTATAACTGAGCATGGAAATGACTGATCTAAAATTCGAATCGACAAAGAGACTTCAGCTTTTAATAAATCTTAGACTCATCTTTTTTTTTAAAAAATTCACTGATCGATGACCAAAGCTATTCATTTAGAGTCGAGCCTTTAGTAATAAATGTTCATGTTCTGTTGCAGTATGTTTGATCGACAGCCATTGTTCCTGTAAAGCAGACGAGGTTCCAAAATGTCTGCCCGACCACCTCTTCCACTATCACTACTGCAAATGTCAAGGTAAGCTGCTACTCCCTTTTTAATTACACATTTGAAAATTATATGCAAAAAATATTGTTTTCGATTAAGTAAGCTACAAATTAGTAAAAAAAAAACCTTATACGTAAGTTTTAAAAAATCAGTGTTTTGAGAAGAAATATGTATGAAAATATTTTTACCAATATGAATGCTATGAAAACCTGACCGACAAGCTTACTTAATAGATTACTCGAGTCAAAAGTACATGTCAAGTTGTTCTGTTCTAACTGGTTTTCTTAGATATCATATAGGAAGCAATTATTAAGTGTAGTTATCATATTGAAAAAAAATGTTCATAACGCATAAATAACAATTGTGTAATTAAAAAAAAGCTGTAAGCTTGTAAAGTATTTGTCTAAGTGTACAGCCCAAAGTTCCAACACTATTGCCTCTACGACTACTTCGACAACTACGACTTCTACCACTAAAACCACTTTGCCCACCACCCCTTTACCATTGGTTCCATTGGAATGTAAGCACCACAAAGTCAGTGTCATTGAATCCATCGCAGAAAATATACACGTGGAAGACAACAGAGCAGCACTGTGTCCCAGCAATAATAAACACCAATCATCTGAAGCCTACGTCATCAACAAATGTAACGCTACAGAAAGGTTCTCCTGGATGCAAGGGTTATCGGTATATATGAATTTACATACAAGTAAAAGTTTTTCCTTTTTCCTGTGAAAATATATGTTATTTATGTAAATGAATAAACATATTTTAGGCGAACCTTTGAAACAAGATTCTGAATTCACTCTTAGAAATAGATTGACTGATTCACATTCTGCAAAAAGGATATAATTTTTCTTCTCTGTTTGAAAAGTGGATAAATGATTGAATTCATTTCAGATTTTGAAAAATGGAATTTATCGTCATGTTTTTATTTTTTCTTAAAATGTACCCTTTAATTAATATCTGTTCTACTATACTTACACATGTTTTAAAGAGTAATTTGACTAAATGAATAAAATATGGAATAAATTTATATTGGGACCGGATTGTTTTCCATTACACTGGGGAAAATACATACCTTTAGACAATTAAAATTTAGACATATTATTAAAATCTTTTTGATTTGTAAATGATAAAGATTTCTTTTTACAGTTAAAGACATGGTGTAAAACTGTAGAACGTTACACACCTATCTCAACATTTCTTGAAAATAGCAACGACGTGGCTGGCTTTTTCATTGGTTGCAGTGACTCACTTGATGTGTTGCAGGTTTGTCTAATATTCTATTTAACTAACTCGACCGTTCATGTGATCTTGCTAAGTCTAATTTAGCAATGAATATGTTTTGTAAATACTTTCCATGCAGCAGGAGATAGATCACGCTTGATTTAAAGATACGCTGGTTTTCACAATTTCTGTACGGCATGCAAATCTTGAACTTTTATTCTCATTTTCAGTTCCAAATTTCAGTTTCGAATCCTTAATGACTGCATATTTAGTTCAAATCCTTAATGACTGCATATTCAATTACCAACAAAAACATCTTGTGCTTCCTTAAGTGGCCCTTAAAATGTTGTCTTGACATGGAAGTGCTTTTCAAATTCTACATTTAAATAATAAACATATTTGCAAAAAGTTAGTTACATGTATATTTTTGGAAAAAATCAACTGAACTTGGTCATTTTTACTAGGTCACCTGAGTAAACTCAGGTGACCTATTGCTATCTGTTTTCGTCCGTCGTCGTGCGTTGTGCGTTAACATTTGAACATTTTCTGCTTCTTCTCTGCAACTACTGAACCAATTTCAACCAAATTTGGCATATAGCATCTATGGGTAAAGGGGAACAAAAACTGTGAATTTCATGGTCCCTGCCCCCCTGGGGCCTGAGGGGTGGGGCCAAAACCACTAAAATTAATGCATTCTTTAAAAATCTTCTTCTTTACTCCTGGACATCAAGCAGTCAAACTGTTTGCATGATTGTAATCAGCAGTAAGTCCTCTACTAAAATTGTGAAATTCATGGCCCTGGAGTCAGGAGTTCTAGTGCTAGGGCGGGGCTAAATAAGTATGTAGTGAAAATGCATTATTTCTTTGAAAATCTTCTTCTCTGCTCCTAGGTATTAAATAAACCAACTAAGTGCATAGTTATGATGAGCAAAAGTGCCTCTACCAAAATTGTGAATTTTATGGCCCCAGGGTCAGGGGTTCTGGTGTTAGGGCGGGGCTCTATTGATTATATAGTGAAAATACATGAATTCTTTGAAAATCTTCTTCTCTGCTCTTGGGTATTAAATAAACTAACTAAGTGCATAGTTATGATGAGCAAGAGTGCCTCTACCAAAATTGTGAATTTTATGGCCCCAGGGTCAGGGGTTCTGGTGTTAGGGCGGGGCTCTATTGATTATATAGTGAAAATACATGAATTCTTTGAAAATTTTCTTCTCTGCTCCTAGGAATTAAATAAACTAACTAAGTACATAGTTATGATGAGCAAGAATGTCTCTTCCAAAAATCGTGAATTTTATAGCCCCAGGGTCAGGGGTTCTGGTGTTAGGGCGGGGCTCTATTGATTATAAAGTGAAAATACATTAAATCTTTGAAAATTTTCTTCTCTGCTCCAGGGTATTAAGCAGATGAACTACCTTTATAGTTATGATGGACAAGGGCCCTAATCTTCCAGAACTGTGAATTTTAAGGCCCCAGGGTCAGGGGTACCATAGAGGGGGGGGGGGCTGTACTTATATACTGAAAATGAATGAATGGTTTGAAATCTGCTCCTTGGTATTAATCAAATATCAAGGCCTAAGGGTTAGAGGCTCATGTGTGGTAGGGGCACTACTGATTATTGCTGAATATTACTGATTAGTTGAAATGCATTTTTTGTTCCCCTACCCTGCGTATGGGTATTAAGTAAACAAACTAAGCAACTGCTAAGTGTATTGTTATGATGATCAATGGTGCCTCTTTCAAAATTATGAATGCCATAGCATCTGGTTTAAAACATGAATCAAATGCAATCACTGGAATGTTGTTGCATAATGCTCAGGTGACCTATAAGGCCCATGGGCCTCTTGTTTGGCTTAAATTTTGATATAAGCAAAATTGAATTTCCATTTATTAATAATTTTTCGTTATTTGGGACATAATACTTATGTTCACATGGTGATCAAGAATCTTTGATATTATGTTGAAGGAAAACAAAATTAAAATGTATATGATTTACATTAAATCTTTTATATTTGATATGTACAGTTTTTTTCCCTTCAAGCTTGGTTATTTCAAGTAATAACTGTATTTACAGAAATATTTATTTATAAGCATTCTGAAGAACATTTACTATTTATTATTATGCTGTATTTAAGTTAATGACTCTTTCTTTTAACCGGTGCCTCTATTGTAGATTGCTGCCCAGACGTGTAGTGAACCTCCAATGATCTTTACCCTAGACGAAACAACCACTCCCCGTATGTCGGATTTCTATACCATACAGCAGTGGAAACCATCTTAACAAAATCTCAGTTGTAGTGAAAAAATATGTAATTATAGTACAAATAATTTATTACAAGGTTTTTTTTTTAAATATTTTTTTCATATGTATTTATGTATATTTTTGCGTAAGCGTCTCGATTGTAAATTTCACCACCATAACAGTAAAGATTTTTAATTAAATAACAATATACTATGCCTGAAAATACATCAACCAAAATACATGCACTGAGACCTTTGGGGGGGAGGACTGTGAATTGACCCTTCTAATTTAAATTTACTTGGTTTAGTACCTTTACGTCCGGATACAAGTTTGTAATGTAATGCCAGTAAAGTTATAAACAAATATCTTTTGAGTTTTATATTTATGAACCCTATTCTTGATTTGATGACTATAGTAAGCATGATCAATCTCAACCCTGACGTTTGATCAACTACCAAAGATTGTTGGTTCTTGCAATTGGCGTCATATTGAGAAATACAGTGACAAAAATGAAAGTAATGGAGAATGTACAAGCATACCGAGGGATTGTTTGGAAAACTCATAACAAGGACTGGTATGAGTAAATGTAACCATAAAGGCTACACATTTTTATATGTAAAAATAAATGGTGTAAAATAAGGCGAATGATACATTCAATGTCTTTCATCTTTCAGACATAAGTTGTAGATATATGGAAGAAGTTGTAGAAATTCATGTCATCGTACCTATTGACCTAAAGTATAGAACAAATTAAAAATCTTAAGATAACAAACAACGATCCATCTAAAATATCTACAACCAAATACAAATCTGTGAACAAGTTATTGGTATTAAACACTGGGAATTCCAGAGGTAGGATCAGATGCCTAGGAAGAGGAAGCATTACTTATTGATCGAATATATTTCCTAAGCATGCATGCATACATTATCATAATTTCTGTGTTATGCAGACTACTTGTGCAATATTATAAAGGAAACTTTTACGCAGGTTATCTTATCTCGCGTGCACACGACATAAGAAAGAATTGGGATTTTATATTACAAGACGAAGACAAAATGATGTTTATATTTATCGCTTTGACTGTTCTTCATTTCAACATATTTGCAGGTAAAGTAATATTTTGAGATCTCTTATAAAATCACATTAAAGACAAGTTTTCTGTAAAGATACATTAATTAAAAATTATCGTCATTTTTGAAGAATAAGCCTACAATTGGACCACGCAAATTACCCTCAAAGATTTTGTGTTAATATGTTAAATTTCCTAGAAATTATTTAGAAATGTTGATCATTTTTAATATAATTCCCAGCGATGCACTGTATTTAATAGAGTTTTGAAGTTATGGTCTATTAGTACAGTTTCTGAGATTATTATTATTTTATATTTTAATCTACATTTCATGACAATGGAGCTTAAAGCATATAAAAAGTGCCTTGTATGATCCTAAATGCATTGTAAAATAATTTTCTTTGATAAATCTTTTAACAGAAGCTCAATTTGGGCCTATGGGGAATTTTCGTAAGTGAAAACTTCAAAATAATTTATTAAACTATAAAGATTGGCTCGGTTTTTTGTTAACTTCTAGTGTCATGCCTTGATTTGCTATATAGCAAATCCTTTTGGAGATTGAAAGACATTTTCTGTGAATGCTCGTTACTGTACATGTTCTGGTAGTGGTGATTTTGAAGATTTTAGTTTTCTGTTGTCATGTTTTAGGCATTAGTTTTAATGTTATCCGTTTTCGAAAATGGGCAAAACTTATAAAGATATAAACAATTTGATGGTTAATCAATACATTTCAATTATTTATATATATTTTAAGAAAATTTAAACAAAATAAATCGGGATATATGTTGATGAAAATATTATGTAGGTTATAGGGTAGTTCTTCTTGTGTTGCTTTAAATTAGGATTCGTGCTTTAAGAAAAACATTCTTTTTTGTTAAATATTTATTACATTTATAAGTACATGTAACTTTTGTAACCTACGTAATGCCAATTTCGGGAAAAGGATAACATTTCTCAAATGATTGTTCCTATCAATGAATTTCATATTTATTTTAATATAAATTGTTTTTCATTTGTTGTGTATTATCTTTATGAAAGATGGAAAATCAACATTTAATATTGAATCTGTAACCGTATTGTTAAAGTTTTAATGTCTTCTCATTTAATTTTTTTTATTTTTAGAAATATTTGATATAAAGAACCTTGGATCTTTAAATTCATCTGGTTCTGTCCATTCGCGCTTATTCAAAATTATGTCTTAATTTTTTAGGTATGTGTAGACAGGACAGTGATTGTACTTCTTTGTGTCACCACCAAGCACACTGTTCGCATGGTCACTGTGACTGTTTGGGTAATAAAAACAGACACTTAAAAAACACAGATGACAAGGTTTAATTTACATTCATAAGTTTCATAACGGTAATCAGTGAACAAGTTTATCTTTTAAAAAAGATAGGTGAGCTAGCGCCGTAGCAATTTTTAAAAACAGACAGGAGGATCCCTGATCAAGTGATTTATTTTGCTGAATTCTTTAATTTTTATCGAGGCTGGAGAGTGATAAAGTCATAATTGTTTTGTTAAGTGTATTTCATTGACACATAGGTAAAGAAACGAGGGGGGGGGGGGGTGTTGTGTTGTCCTATTGGAGTTTCGGCGCAACGGAACATTTATGACCTTTACTGGAGAGGGGGGAAACTCTTTATAATATGGAGACGATGCCGATTGAGGCATTGTATGAGCTGGTTTAAGAGTAGAATTTCTTGGCAATGTAGCAAAGAAAATACAGGGGAGTTTAAATGAATACAGAAAATAACCCAGGGTGTATGTTGTATAAAGAAATCCAGAGAGTTCCGAAGATGTGAAGCAGCTTGGTCCTTTGGGTCATCTTTGTCAAGAAATGTTTGGTTAGAAGCCATACACATCAGATATTTTTTATATAAATAATGAAATTATTCGTTTTTTAGCGTAAATTCTCGTTTCTGGAATTTGTTAAGATTGGCTGAATTGACCAATCAGAAATTAGAGTCTATCTTTGGTTGTGCTTAGACGTAAAAACACCTCCCTTGTCTTTGTTTATGTAATAGGGTTCTTGGAATGACAACATCGTTTTTTTGGTTTAGTTGATTTTATTAGTAGTACAAGTATAAGTAGTAGTAGACCCTGTAATAACAATAACAATTATCAGACAAGATAAAAAATATGTACAACTGCAATATAGTATTTGTTATCATTACAAATTCATACTTTATAGTTCATATTCTCTTTGTATTAAATTTATATAGAAATAATTACCACTTCTTTATCACAGATCAATTCATCATAAAAATAATTCCTTTGACAATTTAGTAATTTAAAATAAAAGAAAATCATAATAATTTATCATAATCATTATCTGATCTTAAATAATTCAGAATCAAATAATCTTACTGAACATTTACAGAAATACAATTTCATGCATTGGACTGAATACAAATGAAATTCAATTCAACACAAAATGTAAACATGCAAGACAAATACTGAAAATAAAGTTCTGTCAACACATACATATAATAGAACAACACAAACATAAAACACATAGATTACCTTCAATGTGGTCAAAAGGTCTTGATATTACATACTACCACATATGTATACAGATGCATGTCAGTCCTAGAAAGAATGCATAAAAATGAGTAATCTCCCTTAGCTGATATAAAAATCTTTAATAATGATAACTGATTAATTTAATGAAAAATACCTATGCTTTAAATTGGAAAGATTATTTAAATTATATGAAATAAAAGATAAAATTCCTATTTTTATGATAAATAGCATTATAGATATACAAGTTATTTATAAAACTAGTTTTACAACTTTACACTTATTTATTCATTTCACTCAGTCCTACATATATACAATTTCATGACTGAATTAGAGTGAAATGTCAGATAAAATATTTATGTTTCTCATTTACACAAGTACACAAACTCTCAAACTTTCACTCACCATTCTAACACCTTTTTCACTCATTTTCACACAAAATCAAAATCACAATCATACAAAATAATATAACAACAGACCTGAGATCCTTGAAATACACCCTCGATGAAAATGTAGATGAAGTGAACAACTGAACACCCAAAATAGTAAACTCAGGGAATCACCAAGATAAACATGAACACCCTGTCCTCTTGGACACAAAGACTTTGTCGCATATGCTAGCAGAGGATTAACGAAGTCAGAGGCTAGATACCCCCCCCCCCCCCCCACATAAATTAGAATCCCTTGCCATGAAATGGGCCATTTGCGACAAATTTAAGGATTACCTATATGGACAGGATTTTACTGTGCTGACGGATAGCAACCCTATGACGTATGTGCTAACGACAGCCAAACTAGACGCCACAGGACACCGATGGCTTGCCGCATTGTCAGCATTTAATTTTAATATCCTATACAGACCAGGAAAGAAGAACAATGATGCTGATGGACTTACAGTAAAACTCGTTTAGTACGAACACGGATATAGCGAATTCACGGATTTAGCGAAGTTTTTCTGGGTCCCCGGTAAAATTCTTAACAAATCGTTGTAAAATTTTACGGTTATATTGAACTCTGATATACGAATTTACGGATATAGCGAACCCATTTTGAGTCCCGATGAGATTAAATATAATAAAATTTATATCTTTTATAACGAACTTTCAAAGATCTTAAAATTTGCTAAATTGAACTGACTTTATTTTCTTGTAGCATTTGTATATAAAATTCAATTCATAATAAAACCTTAGTTATCGACGGTATGTTTTGTAATATTTGCTTCCCTAACATATTTGGTAGTAATACTTGAAGGAAAACATTCATATTGAGAACTCGCTATAAATGTTTATGCGAATTCGTTATACGGATATAACGAATTGCGGATATAGCGAATTAAATTCACAGGTCCCCAGGACTTCGCTATAACCGAGTTTTACTGTAGTAGAATTCCACCACCTGTTAACATGGAGTCAATTTCCTTAGATTCAGTCAAGGCCATCTGCAACTCTAGGATTTCTGGACCTTACATAGAAAACTTGTCAACAACAGTAAATATGGAAGATGAAGGAACAATTACATTAGACAAAGAGATCATAGATTGGACAAAAGCACAGAACGTAGACCCAGAATTACACAAGATCATCAATTTTGTGAAGTTAGGCAGAAAACCAATAGTTGCAGAAATTGGACCATCACCTTACATCAGACAATTTCATCACCTCAAATCTACAATGAGGAAATCAAGAAACAGCTAGTTCTACCATCAGATCATATAAATACAGTTTTGAGAGCGTTACACAATGATATGGGCCACCCTGGAAAAGATAGAACATTGTCATTAATACGAGAAAGATTTTACTGGCCAGGAATAGGCAGAGATGTAGAGGATTGGTTACGTTCATGTGGGAGATGTGTTAAAAGAAAAACACCACTGAATCAAAGAGCTCCACTTATAAACATCGAGACTTATTTTCCCTTACAACTCGTGTGTATGGATTTCCTGAGCCTGGAAAAATCTAAAGGAGGACAGGAGAACATACTCATCATTACAGACCATTTTACTCGCTATGCTCAAGCCATTCCAACTCACAATCAGACGGCCAAAACAACAGCAAGAGCCTTATTTGAAAACTCTATAGTACATTATGGGATACCAGAAAGAATACACTCGGATCAAGGGACCAACTTCGAAAGTGCCATCATCAAAGAACTTTGCATTTTGACAGGAATGAAGAAATCTAGGACAACCAGTTACCATCCAATGGGAAATGGCATGTGCGAAAGATTTAACAGAACACTTTTAAATATGTTAGGAACTTTGGAAAAAGAGAAGAAAAATGATTGGAAGTCGTATGTACCATCACTCGTTCATGCCTACAATTGTCCCAAACATGAAACAACAGGAGTATCACCATATTTTCTAATGTTTGGAAGGAATCCGAGATTACCAATAGATATTGCATTTGGAATTAGAAAAGAGAATCAGGATTGCAAGACGAAGTACATCAGTGAATTGAGAGAAAGGCTTGCGAGCGCATATGAATTAGCAGAGAAGAATGTAAAGGAGGCACAAAAGAGCCAAAAGACAACTATGACAGTAAGGCTAGAGGAATATCTTTACAAAAAGGAGACAGAGTTTTAGTAAAAATTTTAGCATTTGAGGGAAAACACAAAATTTCAGACAAATGTGAGGATACACCATACATAATAATTGACCAACCCAACAAAGACATTCCAGTATTCACAGTTATGAGAGAAGACGGATTAGGAAGGAAAAGAAACTTAAACCGGAACTTACTGTTACCCATTGGTTTTATAGCCGAGACCACAGATTTTCCACCGCAGGACACAAAACCCATTCCTAAGCCAAGAACCAGGCTGACAAGAAAGAAAGAGATCACAGAAAGAGAGAATTTAGTGACTGATTCCCAATCTATAGATGATTCTTCTTCTGACGATGAGACATATGAGATTAAAACAGTCAAGACCAGAAAATTTTTCAAGAAGGATGAGAAGGATAATGCTGATCAGCAGGTTGTACCAGAACAACACCAGGTTATACCAGAGACACCACAGGTTATACTGGAGAATGAGGAAATTGTGCAAGAAAATCAGGAAGTGGTACAAGAGAAGAGACAGAAACAGCAGATGTTCAGGAAGAGGTACCCTTACCTGAAACATCAGAACCAGTACCATTGAGAAGATCACAGAGGGTAAGAAAACCACCAAAGTGGTATTCTTCAGATAAGTATATCACAAAGGCAATGGTGCAGTCACCATTGGAAGAGAAAATCAATTGTATACAAAGTCTTCTTTCCAATACGGATTTATTTTCAGGGATGGAAAAAGATGTCGCAGCAACTATTCTTAACATCATCGACCATGGTTAGCATGACGAGGACGTCATTTGCCACCTGGGGGGAATATGTGGTAAACTGTAAATATTTAAAAAGAGTGTATAGTTTTAGTATTTTAGAATTTTTCATTTATTTGACGTGCATATTATTATTTTTGTCTGCTAGATAATTTTGATATGATTATTTCCAGGAATTTATTTAATTTAACTCATTTATATTTCAGCAGTTTATTATTCATTTAAGGTATATGGTCATACCAGTTCTACCCAAAAATAAATCTACCCACAAAGAGATTTCCCTCCAAAATCTTGACCAATGAAATCTCATTGTCAGGTCACTTCATAGGTCACTGACCTATCAAAGTTTATAGCTATAAGTAAGTATAAGGGAAAATTTCTAAATAATTCTAAAGCTTCTAAAGTATAATATACCTTAAATAAATAATAAACTGCTGAAATATAAATGAGTTGAATTA